TTAGTCAGATCTTTGAAGAACTTTGTTTTTCTTTCAGTGGTCAAGAATTAACAATTGCTCTTCTTGAAATATTGGCAAAATCAGCTGTGATTACTTATGATCAACTTAAAACTGGCATGTTACGTTTATTTGATGATATAGAAGATATTCAATTAGATGTTCCTAATGTCTATGAACAATTGCAAAGTCTTCTTAAACAATTAGAAGAAAAAAAAATTCTTAATCATGATATAACATCAAATGCGCCACAAAAAGGTCGAAAACGTATGACAAGTGAAGGTGAAAATACTAAACAAGGCAAAGAATAAGACAAAAAAATGTAAGTATATATATATATTTCAAGAAACATATATTTATTAATTTTCTATTTTTTTTTCGTAGCAAACAAACGACAACATGCGACCTTTTTTTTATTATTATGATGAACAGTTTAAATTTTGTTAACGGCATATAACTTCATTTGTTTTTTCGTATAAAAACCTGTTCTCAATCTTTCATTTGAGTCGCAAAAAAAAAGAACTTTTTTCGTTATATAAAAACCTAATAAATCTAGCGAAATGCAATGGTGAACTGTTTTCTCTTTGCATATTCTTTTGTTCAGACATTTTATTTTTTTTTCTTCTTTTTTTCTTTGATGATTTTATGCTTTGATATACCATCACAAACCAACTAGAACAAAACATCCGAATGGTCAAAAACAAAAACTAATGACATGAGATTATATATATATATTTATATATATTCGTTTTTTTTCAGGAAACATCAACAAAATATAGTAAGATCTTTGGATGATTGTATGTGTGTGTGTGTGTGTGTATATTCATAATTCGCTTTTCTTGGGCAGGGATTTTTCTTCTTCTTCTTTTTTTATTTCTGTTATCTGTTGGCTTCGTTATGTTTGTTGTTCTGTTCATTAATAAACTTTCTATGCACTTGCCATATTTTATTTATAATTAACTGAAAACTGCACATAAAAAAAAGAAAATGTATATTATTTAGAAATACTTCAGATAGTCGAAATTTCTGATAAAGTGTTCAGAAACCTATCAAAAAAGTCTCTCAGGTGATTAATCATTTTTTTTATCTATAGAAACCTACATGACCTTCAATCCGTTCATTACGTTGTCCTCCAATATCAAGGTTCTCTACATTCCCTTGGTTCGATATTAGAATTACTAAATCCTTTGAGATAGGTATTTTTAATCTAGGGCGATTTCGTATCAATCAGTTATGTAACACAGAAGAAAATTCTCTTGTGTTTAACAATACATCAATGTAAAATTACAAATACTCTCAATGCATTATTTGTCAGTAAAAATACGTTGTCTTTATATATTACGTCAGATTAAAATATACGTAAAACAATAAATATGATAATCAGTGACATATATGAGACTAATTAAAATTCGATTTTTGACAATAAAATGTATTCTTATCGAGTAAGGAGATTAGTCATGATAGAATAGAATCTAGGGAATGTTAAAAATCTTCATATATGACATAAATGTAATAAATAACATATTGTGATATGAAAAAGCGATTAATCACTCGATCGATTTTTATCGTAATCGTCTAATACGACATGAGAAGTAGTTGATTTAAAACAGATACAAAAAAGGTTTTTATGAGTAGATTAAACTCATCATTTTGATTTTTATCGTTCATATTTACGTATTAAAATAGTTAAAACTATTCGAAAAGCTTTCAGATAAATAGACAATAGATAATATTTACATAGAGAAAAATGTATGCATACATACAGGTTGATCTAGTAGTTGACAATAATGTTAATCATATACGAATTTTAAATATTTTTTACATGCATTCATATACCAAGTGGATTAATTTCAAAGTACAATGGATGTTTGATCATATATAGAAAATCATTTGTCGCACGATGAACAATTTGCTTATAATTAACTGTTCATGTCAATCTAATTTTATTAATCTATATTCTAGATATGAATGAAATATGGCGCGAATTTTTATTATAAAAATAAGTATTTTTTTTATTTTTATTAAAAAAAAATTGAATAAATCTTCCACAGCAACAGAATGTTAATAAAAAATCATTCGCCTTTTTCAACAACGATTCGATAAGAAAGGAAAAAGAATATTAAACTAATAATCTATTCTAATTTTATTTTTCTTTTGCAATGGCTTGTTCAAAAGCTGAAGATTTAATAAATCAATTAATTGAAGCAACATTAAAATTATTAGATTTTGGTTTAAATATTATGGATGCATTACGTGTTCAAAAATTATTAACAATACGTAATCAAAAAATTGGTTTAATAAGTGATGATGCTTGTTTACCGGAATGTAGTCTACGATTTTCACTTAATTTTGATTTAATGATGTTTAATAAATTATTACGTAGTGCTTGTTTACGTGCTCGTGCAACACTTAATGAATTACGTGTTTGTCGACTTCGTTATCCAAATGCTCCACTTGTACTTGAACCAAAAACGAAAGTTAAATTTCAGAAATTACAACGTAAAATTCAAGAATTTGATGAAGCTGTTCGATCAGATAAAATGATTGCACGACGTGATCTTCGAGATTTTCGAGAAATTTCAATTATTTTTTCACAATTAGAACATGATTTAAAATTACTTATATGTAGTTTAGAATGTGCTAGTACAATGAAAGATACAGTCTTATTTGCTGCACCTATTACTGATGTTATGACAGTTTTATCCATTGTTCTTAGTCGATTAGTAAATCTTATATTAAAAAACAAAGAAAACTTTTTGTTTTGTTTCCTGTAAATAGGAACGTTTAGCACAAAAAGCTGAAATTGATGAAAAAATTGCTGCTGTTGAACAACAAAAAGCTTTACAAGATCAAAAATTATCACCAACAAATTCTTCGACACCCTTACGAAGACAACAATCAACACCACCACCACCAGTAACAAAAACTCGTCCAAATGATATTCTATTTAATGGAAAAAATACAAATCGTACATCGAAACAACGTCGACAAGAAATGACAGCAATGATTGTAGCTGCTGGTCAACAGAAATTACAATCTGATAATGAAAAAAAATCTCTTCAAACGAATACATTACAAACAATTGAATCAAATAAATGTTTAAAAGAAAGGTATGAAAAATTACGTCATATGATATCATAACTTCACACGATGAAGTGCAATTTAAAATTGTTGTTATCAAAATTTTTCAATTGTTTATCTATGATGAGTGTTTTTATTTAAATATCTTTACAATTTTACGTAATACTAAATTTGATCGAAAGATAAGTTTCTTAATATTTGACAAAATTGCATGTCTACTTTTTTTTATTGAAATTTGATTTAGTTGCATGTTTTATCGAAATAGTAAAATGTCTTGTCGAGTTTGATCCAATAGAGATTAATATGAAAGCTTTTTTTTTTCTTTCTTCTTTGTATAACGAAAATTATAGTGTAGAAGTAAAACATAAAGCTTTGAAGGTTAATTACAGACTATTTTTTATACTAAATATCTTTATGATTCATCGAAACTTTAGAAGTGTCACTTCTAATCATGTCATTACTATACTAACAGAAATTGTCGTTATCCAGAGTTTAAAAATATGGCACTTATTCTCCTATTAACATTTTTCAATAACTACTTCATCCATTACTAATCTAAGATGTTGTATTTTACTATCTATCTTTTACTTGCTAGTGAGCATTACTTCTTTAGTAGCTACTTAAAAACTTGCATGACAAAAAAAATAATTTTTATACACTTCATTACATATTTTCAAAGGATTTGTTTGTCTAAACCTAATGTGCAAAATATTTTACATAAACAATTCAATAAAAGGTATAATAGTAAGACACTTGAGGATTCATTTTAGCCTGAAAGAATTTTGTTTTGTCTTCAAACGTGTGCTGACAGCTTTTTTTTTCTTAAGCTTATATCCACTTTTAACTGAATGATTGCCTCAAAGAAAATTTTATTTGTTCTTTTTTTACCCTACTCTCACTATCATTTTATCATCTATATCGAGATATTTGATAGTAAATCGTAAGAAGACTATTTATTATTGTTCAGGAGACTAGAAATAATTCAACATCTTACGCTTTCGTTTATATTGTTATTCTAAAATTAATCGATGTGTTATGAAATTTTCATTTAATAGTGATTCAATCGATATAAATAATAATGAACAAAATTTAAAATTACCCAGACATATTAATCGTCATTATAATTCAATAAAATCAAATGTTTCACAATATCTGAAAAAAAATGTTACATCAAATGAAAATAGCTTTGATGAAACCCCATTAAATCATCGTCAAATTAAACAACTTCGAAATGAATTTATACGAAAATGGACGGATGATGCACGTAATATATATGCACAAAATCATATAATACATTCTTCGAATACTTATTCTGATCAAATGACGAATGTTGATTTAAAAAAAACCGATCGATTCAAACAAAAATCAACACATCAACGTCGACATTATCGCTCTTTTTCTTCCTCATCACTTGTTAATAATACTAATACTTCATCTTCTTGTTTATCAAATGAATTACATAATAATAAAACAAAATTACAATCATCAAATTCAACTAGTCTATCATCAATCATTGAAAATCAATCAAATATTAAACATCAATATACATCATCAAATAATAGTGCAAATGTTCAACATAAATCAAAAAAATCTAATGATAATATTGAATGCAAAATCAGTTAAATTATATTTTCTTATATCAACTTTATCAAATATAAGAAACGATTAACATCATGAAATGTTGTACACATATTTCATTCAACATTCGTTTCGTTTTCGATATGATATTAAATAAGCATATAATTGTAATTGAGAGAAAAATTCCTTGTATCCTTAATACAGACTAATCAGAAAGGAAGAAAGAAAGAGAAAGAGAAAGAGAAAGAAAGAAATATGTATAAATGAGGCATCTTATTCCGATTCAGATCGTTGTTTGACGACAGTCTGCAATATGAAAAAAGCGAAAGGCACATATATGTACAGAGGCAAATAAGTGAATACATATACATACCTAGTTGTGTCTACTTCTGCGCATAGCTTTAGACTAGTGACATGACCAGTATAATAGTGACCGTGGGTGACGTATACTTTTTACTATTTTCTTTATTCTTCGTTTTCTTCTTCTTCTTTCTTTCAATCACACCATTCATTGTCAAGTGGAAATGAACTTTTTTCTTTCTTCTTCAATAATCATGTCATGTTCCGGCGTTTTTTGCTTGCATCTACTAGTTTGAGTACGTAACATAAAATGATATATATATATACATATTTATATATATATATGATTGAAAATGATGTCGCAATCATATTGAAGAAATGAACAAAGGCGTATATATACATATATATATATATATGACTGTTTAGCGAATGAGTCTGTATGTACATATATGCATGTTTAACGGGTTTCAAATTGTTTACTCGAAACGAGAAGAGTGGGATACATTCAATGATATTGTTGATAATGATTGCTTGGAGATTAACCATCGTATATTTGTCAAGTTTAAGTAAAGAATAAAAAGGAACATTCACTTTTACCTTTGTCTATCATTATTTTTTTTTCTTTTTCGTTTACCTTCATTTTAGATGTCAAAAAAAACAATTGTTAATACTACAGCCAATCTTTTACTTCATATTCATGTACGTCCAAATGCAAAAAATAATGCAATACGTGAAATAAATTCTAATAATGAACTACGTATTGATATAGCTGCTGATGCACAAGATGGAAAAGCAAATCATGAATTAATTGATTTTATTAAAAGTATTTTAAAAATACCTTCACATCAATTAGAAATTATTCATGGACATAAACAACGTGATAAAGTTTTACGTATATCAACAACATTGGATAATCACGATGATTTTATCGAACGTCTTAAAAACGAAATCACAACCAAATAGAATTTCGTTCTTTCATAAATCTACATAAATATATCGATCAAATTTCATATATTTATTTTTATTTCAGATTATGTGCGTGTAAGCGTGTTGATAAATCATGTCTGTCCTTGTAGCATCATTAACAAATAACAATCATCATCATCCTCATTCATCTTATTTTTCTAACAATACAACTCGTCGTATGAATGGAAATATTTCTCAAACAAAACAAAATCGTTTATCAACAACAACAACAGCAGCAACTAAAGTAAATGAAAATGATCAAACTAATGATCATGTACCATATGGCGTTGTTAATTCTATGAAACAACGTTTATTGAATAAAGTAAATGAATCATTTTTATTAAATAATAATTCAACAATTATACGACATTCATTATCAAAACCATCATCACGTTTATCTTCAAATGAAAATTTACTTCAGACAAAAACATCTGTATCACCATTAAAACATACAACACGTCTTTCACGTAGTCAAGATAATTTAACAAATAATCATCCACTAAATTCTATACCTAGTCAAATAATAATTAATGAAAAACTTACTTCATATATACAACCAACACAAGATGTTATTATTGTCGATACAACAACGAATGAAATTAACAATGATAATAATGATGATGAAAAATTGCACGCAGGACAGAAAGTACCATTACATAAACAATCATATACAGAATTACATGTGGATGAAGCACCAAAACCTGGTAAGAAATTTTAACTTTCAAAGAAAAGACAAGTTTAATCTGCTTTAAAGTTCTTTTTTCTCATGATAATTTGACTTAATATGCCTATGACGAACAACGCGTAAAAATTAGGTTTCATTACTGAAATATGGAGATCTTTGCAACCGACTATTTAAAAATATTCATTGTCGAATAACTACCCGTATCCATCTGAATTCTCTAGATATAGATAAATATTTCGAATATTTTCTATTACATATTCATACCAGTAAAAAGCGATATGCATATCATATAGTTTGAAATAAATTTAAAAAAGTAACGTTCGGACAAGTTTCTTGTTTTAATTATGTATACTATTTCAATAGGTACGGTTACAACTGTTAAAAATATGTTCGAACGACAAATACGTTTGAGTCGTTATGATGCTGATAAAATTTTCAATACATCAACACCAGGTAGTTCACGTATGAGTAGTCAACATCGTGAAATCTCAACTCCAACACGTTCACGTAGTACTTCACCAAATGATATAGCCTTACGACAACGACGAACAATTATTTCTGTACCTATTATACCATTAACATCAACAACATTAACATTACCTACGTCAACATCTTATCCTGATCTGGTTACATCTCATACACCCCCAGCAGAGACAAATAAAAATTCGACTGAACAAATACATAACGAAAATTATTCTCAAGGATTAAATAAAGAGAAAAAAGTTTTTATACCAATTCGTAATATAACATCACATGAACATACTCCATTAAGTGTTGTTATTATTGATGAAAGTTCAACAAATATAATTAATCAACAACATCCAAATTTATTATTACCATCAACATCAGAAATTGTTGATTGTCAACCATTAGATTTTAAAAGTCGGTTAGCTTTATTTAATCGTACAAATACACAAAAATCAAATAAAAATTCAATAAATATTAAAAAATCTTTTAATCCAACAACTCCTCCTCCTTCAACAAATATTTTAACTAAACCTGTTATTCATCAACCTGCACGTTTAATAAATGAAGAGAAAAAAGATATTCAACTAGAACCTATTCATGGTCAATTATCAATATCAGTTTCTCGATCAGTTATTAACACAGCTAAAGCTGTTACTTTCTTCGGTGGAAATAAATTAAATGGAGATACAAAATCATCATTACCAAGTTCAATACCACCGCCCCCACCGCCTTCATCATCAAATCAAACAAATACAAAAAATGAATCATCATCGATATCAACATCGCTTGATGTACTTCGCACACCTGATATTATTGGTGGAAATGTTAAATTAAATAAATCATCAATTTTTTCTGGAACGAAAAAGGTAGGGTGATTTTTTTCGTAGATAATTTTCTATATTGGCTTCTTTTTTTCGTGCTTTAGGATGCTCGAGTACAATTTATTGATAATGTTGATACATTTGAATATCCTTCATATGAAATTGCTATGGCTGAACTTGGCAGTACGGGTTCAGATAATGATAATGATATAGAAGATGATGATGATCTATCCAATGTCAGTAATGGTGATAGTAATATTAATGAAAAGAAAAATGATAAACGAGAAGAATTAATCGAGAATAATAAACGTGTCAATGATGTTGATGATGACGAACTTGAACGATTAGCACGTATTAATGCTAAATTTAATACAAATAACCTTGAAGAAAAATCATTAAAACCAAAAGGTGCGAATTTGATATATCGATGAAAAAGCAATAACTAAATTTTTAGGATATTTAATCTGTAATATTAAGAAAACTGAGGGTTTTTTTTCAAGGAGTCAAATTCTCATGGTTTTGTATTGGATATAATCTGTTTAGATGAGTTTTTATGTATTATAATAAAACTATATCCTAGCCATTCAAATCTTGAATACTAAAGTGTAAGTATCAGTGACGGATCTAGGATTCTGGAAGGGGCAGGGAACCGTTTTTTTTTGACTATGGAGGGCGATACCTAGGGAGGGGGGCGATTTTGGCTAAAAGCTATTTTTTGAGTCCAATCGAAGTAGTGTGAACCTATTTTTGCTGTAAAAAATCAAAAAAAATTCGGAAGGGGGAGGGCGATCACCACCATCGCCCCCTCCCGTAAATCCGCCACTGGTAAGTATGACTCACATCCGAAACCATTGATGCGATTTTTTGCGCTAAATGAATAGCGTTATCGTTTTATATTGAAATATTTAATTTTGATTTTTGCTTTATTTTAGGTACATTACATACGTTTCGTCCCACTCATCTCGATCAATATGAATTAGGTACTCAACATGGTTCTCTATTAATTTCAAAATCGTCAGATATTTCTTCTTCAGCTAATTCTTATTCTTTAATATCTCGACAAAAAATTTTATCTTCTTCAAATGTACAAACAAAAAATTTATCAAATCATTCCTTATTAAAATATCAACAAAAACCAATATTTGATATGGCAAATAATATTCAATGGAGTTCAATGTCTACAACTACTGATCTACTTTTTTGAATTTTTTCTTTTGCTTGTTTTTTCTTTTGATACAGTTTGTTGAAGAGTATGTAAACAAAATCTTATTCTTTCTTTTTCTCTTTTTTCTTTTTTTGGCGAATTATTGTGTTATTAATTATCTACAAATCTCATTCTTTCTTTTTTTTTTGTTCTATACTATTCCATTTAAACAGACAAACTAAATAAGTCAGTTATATACACGCTGCTTTTTATGGTTTTTCTTTTCTCTTCTTTCTTTTTTTTTTTATTAAATATTATATGCGCGTGTATACTTGAGAATTTTTTGTTCCTTGATATTATTCGTGTTTATTGGCTTATCTGTGTTGTGAAAGAAAACAAAAACAAAGAATAATAATTATATATTGAAAAAAAATGAAATTCTTTATAGATAATGACAGATAACAGTGAATATGAACAGTTTCTTCAAACACATGAATTTCAACTTGTTCTTAATAATATTCCAAAACATTTCTATCGACGTTTATATGAAAAAATGAAAAATGAAATATTTGATAGTGGATCATATTTTCAATTATGTCCTGTTGATGATGATGATGAGGATTTAGAAGAAGTTTTCAATCCGGAACGTCGATATTATGTATCAACATTAGAAAATGTTGTATTGGATCCTAATAATGATGAAAATGCGATATTTCTTATTGATCATGCCTGGACATATAGGATAAAAGAAGCAAGAAGTAACTTAATAAATATACCAAATTTATATGAACGTATGGCTGCATTAATGAATATTGATACAGAAACAAAAGAAGATGGAATTGAACTTATTTTACAACGTATGTGGAAATATAATCAAACATATACAATGACATCAACACAAATTGATCCACAAAAAGATTGTGAAGAAGCATATGAACCTTTTTGGTAGGTGATTTTTTGACTGAATTGAAAATATATAAGATCGTCATTGAGATTCCTTAATCAATACTATTTTTTAAGACTACTTATTGAAGTCAAATAAAAAATGTTTATTAATTATAAATTATCAGTCAGATGCTCGTTTCTACAGTATTATTTTATTCTTCTATATTTATTTAGGTATATAATGGATGAATTAGGTTCATCAATACGTCATTCCAGTACAAATGCAAATGTTTGTTGTACATCATTTTTCTTTGCACCAAGTCAAACAATGTTTTCACTTTTCTATCCAATTGTTCGTATTGATCAACCATATTCGGAAATTTTTCGAAATTTTGTTTATGATAATAATGATACACTTGATCGTAATATTCGATTATTAATATGGCGACATATAAATGATCGAAAATTAATACTTCGAAATTTAATGATTGAGAATAGTCCAGAATTATTCAATAAGAAACTTGAAAATAATATCGAAGTATATGAAAAATGTCATAAAAATGATCTTTATGATAAAAAACCGATTAAAATTGAAGGAATAAAAATTGATCCAGATCGTATTTGGAAAGTTTATACAGATCATGATTTAGTTACACAATATTTAACTGATAAACATTATCAATTAGTTGATGATCCTGAACAAGCAGATCTTATATTTGTTATGAAACAACTTCAAGATTTTCGTCATGAAATTTTAGAAGAAAAATTAATCAATCAATTTCCATTTGAAAATCTCATTACGAACAAAGAATTATTAGCACTTGTAGCTAGACGATGGAAATCATTGAATAAGTAAATATTATTGAGCATCACTTAGTCTTTAATCATTCTTTTATTTCTTAATATAGTTCAACATCAACTGATAGTGATCCATATGTTGATTCTCAAGGAAGTCCACCATGGTTAGCAACAACATTTAATCTTACTTATGAATTAACTCAATTTGCTGTTTATTTTCAAGTATTTATTATTAGATTCCATTTTCTTTTAACTTCTTCTTTCTATTATTATTTAGTATCGTGAAGATCAACATCTTGATAATACTTGGATAATCAAACCAATAAATTTAACACGTTCAATCGATATGTCAGTAACAAATTCATTGGATATGATTCTCCGTCTACCTGAATCCGGTCCAAAAATTGCATGCAAATATGTTTATTCACCTGTTCTATTAAAAATACCTGAAATGGAAGGTAATGGAGTGAAATTTGATGTTCGTTATGTTTTGCTTTTACGTAGTATTCGTCCATTAAAATTATATGTTCATAAAATTTTTTGGCTTCGTTTTGCAAATAAACCATATTCATTAAATGAACTTGATGATTATGAAACACATTTTACTGTAATGAATTACCGACCAAATGCATTCTTACGACAAATGAATTGTGAAACATTTATATCAATGTATAATGAACAACATGGGCATAAGGAAGAAACATGGTCTATTGTTGAACAACGTATATTTCAAATGTTTAGAGAAATATTTCAATGTGCAACTATAGAAGAAGCACCATTGGGTATTGATTCATGTTCATCATCACGAGCTTTATATGCAGCTGATTTAATGCTTGATATAGTTGATAATAAAGTACAACCAAAATTATTAGAAATTAATTTTACACCTGATTGTCATCGAGCTTGTACTTTCTATCCGAATTTTTATAATCAAGTTTTTAATGTTCTTTTTCGTGATACAACTGATGAACAAGATGTTATAGATATTTCACAGTAAACGTTGAAGTGAAACATATTTCAGAATAAATAAGAAAACTTTGAATGAATTGTTTTAGTAATAGATGTAAACGAAGGACAACAAAAAAACGATATGTCCTATGTTCGAATCTAACGAATGGAAACAATATGTAATAAAAAAAAACGTCTATTGATGATTCTTGAATTACCGTCTGAATTTCATTGATTTTAACCAAGCGGCTATTTGTTTACTGAAGACGTTTTTTAATCTTAGAAAATTAAATGTCAAATATAGGTTTCTCTTTATTATTAAACATTGATTTAAATCTTGAATGCTGCATATACATGACCTTTAGAATATCTATAGATAGACTGTTGTTATATATCATTTTAAAATGTGTCGTAAACGTTTCTTGCTAAAAAATTCAAACTATTTTTTCAAATTAAATAATGTAGTGTTTCAAAATAGAATATAAAAAAAACTATTCTTTTTAGTTATGTTTAATGTATTCTTTATAATGATGAAATGCTTTAAATCATTGTTGATAAAAGGATTATTTTATAAAATAATCTCATGTCATTACCAGACTTTTTTCTTAGCAATCCACATTCTCACATATATAAGTACATTCATATACTCTTAAATAAAATACCCACGAATGTCTATTGGTGAGAATAGCTTAGATAGTTATCAGTTCTTCCTCCACAAAATATAATTTTTTGTTCCTTTCAGTAAATGACATCTATGCTACATATATATCATTCAGAATAAAAGTAATCAATATAGAAATTGATATAAAAACATTATTTATATTCATAGAATCTATTTTGATTACAATACATAACAAGTTGGATCACGAGACATTTGTTAAAGTTATAACTATCTCTTCATTCATAGTATCGCATTTGGATTAATTAGAAATTGAGATAATGATGTTCTTGTATTTTCAATCCCTAAGTACTCAGTTTTGTTCTTTATCGATCTGTAATACAAAAAATTAGTTTTCGTCAGATTTTTAGCATTTTGTGCCACTTGTAATCTTTTGATGATGGTAAAAAACAAAGGAAAGCAAGAAACGCGTGTATTTTTTTAAAACCAATTGATAGTTGATATTTAATATAATCCATAAATCAGTTAAAAAATACTGTTAATTAAAACTTACAAGAATGTTTTCCTTAGATTGCAAAGCAGAGTTCCTAATAGAAATACATAATTGTTAAATTAAATGCATCATTTGATTTTTTATTGAAAAAAAAAATGATCGAAAGTTACATTGGCTTTAGGTCAAATTCTTATCTATTTTGTTGTTTCTCACGTATATAAAATAGTTATTATCAGTGCATTGCTTTTATAATTATTTTCAATGTTCTTTTTTATAAGCAAACCAGGGTCAAAATACATTTACTTCGTTATTTCGGTTTACGACTGCTACTTAGATAAGACAATATGTTTTTTCTCAAGTATACAAAATACGAGTCTTTTAAAACAAAAGTGACTAGAGCTAGCGAATGTTTCATGGCGACCTCCATCGAAAATCATTTTTTTTTCGATATTTGAATGGCTATTCTTATTGTCCAGCTAGAGCTATTTTTAGTACATTTATGTATGTATGTACTATTATGATTGAAAATGTTTATGTACTTCATAAAAAATGATAATATAATATTTTATTCTAATAGAGATGTCAGAAAGGAGAAAAATAGTCCTTCACTTATACAAGGTTTTTTTTTTAGATTGCTACCTTGCCTATTCATATTTTGTTTTTTCTTTTTCTTTAGATTATAATCATTATCACGCATTTGACGAATGATAATAAATTGGAATAAATAAAACGAATTGGGTCAGTCCTTTTATTGATATTTGTCTGTCGAATACACGTATATAACTGCTCTTATTTCAAACGCATATGACGCTTATAAATAACGAGAACCAAACAGTTCCTATCAATAATAGTATGTATAACAACGAAATTGATCCTGATGCAGGGCATCATCCACATGTATTTAAACGTGCTGAAAGTGATAGTGGTCTCCAAGCTAAAGGTTGTTGTCTTCAAACAGTTAAATATGTAAGTTTAACAGAAAAAATTGAAAAACGTATCGCAAGTAACGATCGTTGGTACTCTCTTGAATTTTTTCCACCACGTACACCAAGTGGTGCAGCCAATCTTATTGGATGGTAAATTTCTTTTCTACTTTTATTTTAATTAATATTCTTTTTGTTATAAAATCTAGTTTTGATCGTATGGCTGTTGGTCAACCCTTATTTTGTGATATAACATGGCATCCAGCTGGTGATCCAGCTAGTAATAAAGAAACAAGTTCAATGATGATTGCAAATACAATGTTAAATTATTGTGGTATTGATACAATGTTACATTTAACATGTTATGGTGCTAAAAAAGAACATATGCTTGAATATCTTTATAAAGCAAAAGAATTTGGTATTCGAAGTCTATTAGCATTACGTGGAGGTAGATTTTAACCGAAAAGAAACACGAACTTTCTATTAAAATTTAAAATTTTATATAGATCCACCAGTAGGCGAAGAATGGGATCCGAAAAAGAGTGATTTTCGATATGGAGTTGATTTAGTTAAATTTATTCGACAACACTTTGGAGATTATTTTGTAATTTGTGTTGCTGGTAAATAAAATTTGAATTTTTTCTTTTGATATTTATTGATTTTATGTTATTGAATTAAGGTTACCCACAAGGACATCCAGATTCAACATCGTATGAAGATGATTTAGGTTATTTAAAAGAAAAAGTTGATTGTGGAGCAGATTTTATAATTACACAACTTTTTTTCAAACCCGAAACATTTATTAAATTTGAATCTGATTGTCGTGCTATTGGAATTACATGCCCTATTATTCCTGGAATATTTCCTATTCAAGTAAGAAATTCGAGATTGATTTAACCTTTAAAATAGTAAAGTATTTTAATTTCAGGGTTATGCAAGTCTTCGTAATATTGTTCGATTAGCTAAACTTGATGTACCTAAAGAAATTTTAGCTTGTATTGAGCCAATAAAAGAAAATGATGAAGCTATACGAAATTTTGGTGTACAGACATGTCTTGATCTATGTTCAGCTTTATTAGATACTGGTAAAGTTCATGGTCTTCATTTCTATACATTAAATCGAGAATTTGCAACAATTGAAGTATTAAAAAAACTTGGCCTTTGGTTAGAAGACCATCCATTACGTGCTTTACCATGGAAAAAAACTTCAAATAGTCATACACGTTCAAAAGAAAATGTTCGACCAATATTTTGGAGTATAAGACCAAAATCTTATGTTCATCGTACATCAAATTGGAATGAATTTCCTAATGGACGTTGGGGTTTATCATCAGCACCATCATTTGGTATGTTAACTGATTATCATTTATTTTATATGAAAATTGATGCAACACGTGATGAATTACTTGATGAATGGGGACGTGAATTAACATGTGAAGAAGATGTTTGGCGAATGTTTGCTTGTTATATTGGAGGAGAAAAAAATACGTCAAATAAAGTTGTTCGTCATTTTCCATGGACTGATGAAGAATTATCATTAGAAACAACATTAATTCAAAATAATTTAATTGAATTTAATAGACGAGGAATTTTAACAATTAACTCTCAACCAGCTGTTAATGGTAAACCAAGTTCAGATCCAATTGTCGGTTGGGGTACATCGAATGGTTATGTTTATCAGAAAGTAAAACTAATTTGAAATTTTTATTGATTATTTAAATATGAAATTTAAATTTTTTCTAGGCTTATTTGGAATTTTTTACAAGTGCAGACAATATTCCAGCATTACGAGCTGTTTTGAAGAACTTTCCGAGTGTTAATTATCATTTTGTGAATAAATCAGTAAGAATATAATATTTTTATTCTTGTTTATTTCTACTCATATTATAGGGTGAAAGTAACGAAACAAATACAGTTGATGAACAGCCAATTGCTGTAACATGGGGTGTTTTTACTGGCCGAGAAATTGTTCAACCAACAGTTGTTGATCCTGTTAGTTTTATGATTTGGAAGGTAAAGTTAAAAAAAACGAAATCTTTTTGATATTAAATTATTTATTTTAATAAAATATAGGATGAAGCTTTCAGTTTATGGACTGAACGTTGGGGCAAATTATATGAACCAGAATCACGTTCTCATGCAATTATTGAACAAATAGCAAACACATATTTTCTTGTTAATTTAGTTGATAATGATTATGTTGAAGGTTCTTGTCTCTGGACAATATTAGATTCTATGTTTGAATATCAAAAAGTGTCGAAAAAAGATGGCAACATTTGATAGAATTGTTTTTTTTTGTTATGATTAATTTTTCGAATTCTACAGCTCTCGTTTGTTTGTTATCTCGTTTTCAGTTAAGTTCTCTTTATAGAATACAAAGACAAATTACATTCAATCTAAAAAGTTTTTTGAATACTTATAGAAACGATAATCTATACAATTCATCATATATTCGATTAATACTTCAAGAAATTCTGAAAAGCTGTTTTTCGTTCTTTGACAATGTCAGAATGTGTTTCTGATCTATATTTTATTCTTGCACTCCAATAAAGAAAGATCACTAAACAACTAGTATCTACTTGTTATTTAATAAAATAGCGTCAGTATATAAAGTCATTCGAAATGAGAAATAAACGTTCTGATTGATAAATATCGAATTAATTGCACTTGTACAGCATCAAATGTACAATTTAATACTAAAGGTGTATTCATATTTAGAATAAATAATAACTATTTATCCGATAATCGAAGCATGTTTTTAGATTTGTTATTGGAGAGAAAAGAGAAAGTAAATAACGACAGCGTTATGCTCGAATGACGAGGATATAAGTATCATTCACTCGATGTATTGCACAAAAATTCATATATGTATAAAAAGAAATCTTACGAGTTGATTGAATCACTAATAAAAGAGTCACTTTTTTGTATTTATACACATTCATCTAACAAACATATCTATGCATCGATATATGTACTTGCTCAATCTAATGCGTGCATATTTAAGAGATGAAAATTAAAAACATACATATACATTTATTGAGAGAGTGTTATAATGTTACTATTGTTGATAGTGAGAAAACGTATATTAATAAAATAATTATTACTATAATGTTGATGTTGCAAGGTATATACTTCATTCGTTATGCATTTTATTTTGTCTAGCCAAAAATGTCGATACATTATATAAGTTATATATAACGAATTGTTCTTTTAAATCAAGTCAAATTAAGCTACTACTAATTATTATCTAAAAACTCTAGTTTTTATATAATCTATAGTGACATCTATTAATGAAATTTCACCTAGAAAATCACATCATTTTTCGTTATTCTTTTTTTTTCAATGAATTAAAATTAATAATTCCAGATGTTATTTATTCTATATTTGTATTTCAAGTATAAATCAACACCCAATATTATTCTTATATAAAATAAAATCTCGAAAATCAAATTTTCTTCATTGAATATATCAACGATATATTTTAATCAGTAGTCCCTTTTTTTCCTTGTTCGATTCTTATCATACAACAAAAAAAAAGAATAAAACTATATAGTATCAAAGCTTTTTTTAATATTTATGATCATTAATTGTATATCTGTGCACGATTTGTTTTATGTATAATGTGCGCCTAAGAATCAGAAGGAGAAGAAAAAAAAAGAAAGAGTAGTATTTCTTTCTTCTTCATTTTTTTTCTTTCCTTTCCTCTTTTTTTTTACTACAACGACCGAATGGTTGTATACAACATCAACATGTCATAAGATAGAACGTGCTGTGTGTCAACAACATCATCGAACAACGGCAGTGCTTCATCGTCGACATTCTCACTGTCGTCCTTAACACGCGGCTATGGTGTACCACTATGCTACCATCATCGTCATCGTCGTCTTCATTTTTCTTTTTCTTTTTTCTTCTTCTTCTGACTACATTGACGATCAATCTACAAGAAAAAGAGAGAACGGAAAAAAGCATTTATTTGCCACTGCTTCACGACTACCATCACTTTTCTCCTCACCTCTATTCTCCATTTTTTTTCCTCGCGTGCCAATGTGTCAGACACATGCTTATACAGTAACTATTCCATACAAACAGCATTAATCGATACGTCTTTTTCACTTTTATCAATCGTCATATTGTTTCTTTTTTGTGTCTATGAACAGTATTTGAAAATATTTATCATATTTAAATATGTCAAGTACAACAGTAGTAACAAATATGAATGGAACTGATCAAGTTAATTTACCATACGCACGTCTTGAATCAACACATTTTGGAACATATGAAATATGGCAAGAGAAAACAATTGTTGGAAAAAAAACGAATCATCATGAAGTTGATGTAAACATGGGTATGAAAAAAAGATTTTCTTTTCATAAATAAAATAACTTTATTTTATTTTCTAGGTTCAACTTCTGTTGTTTCTCGTATACATTTTGAATTAATACTTATTAATGGTAGTGATTTTCAATTAAAATGTCTTAGTAAAAATGGTATTTTTATTAATAATAATTATACAAAAATGTCATCAATAACTACTTTACCTAAACAGTATGATTATTGAATTATTTGATTTATTTATATTACTATCAAATTCTTTTTCTAGATGTACTCTTCGTTTTCCAAGTACTGAAATGTCAATTTCATTTGCATCATTAATCAATAATAATAATAATAATAATGGTATTTCAATTAATCGAACATCACCTGAAAGTGTTTCACGTCATGTATCAACAGATGCATTACAACAACAACGTTTATCATCATCATCATCGTCATCATCCATTCCTATTGATACAAATAATCAATCAACGACATCTTCATTACTTCTTCAATCTGTTCCAAATGTTACTCCACAACAACAAGTTATTCTTGTAGCTGTTAATCAACATCCACAACGAACAGTAAATCATACTACTAATAATAATAATCATGAAACAAATAATCATAATAATCTTCTACCATTAACTCTTAACATACCAAATTCATCCACATCATCAATTAATTCAATTCTATCAAATACTAGAAATAATGGATTAGTTAAATATGAAAATCCAACGACAGTGAATTTAACATCAAATAATTCTTTAATAAGGTATATAGAAATTTTTTTTTATTTATTTTATAAATTGAATTATTATGTTTAACTAATGTCCTTATCAAAACAAAAGATTTCAATGAATAGTAAATATTTGAATATATAAAACAAAGGTTCCGAATTAATAGTTTTTTCAAAGATTAAGAATGCTCTTTAGATCCGACAGGAAATCTCATAAATTCTTAATAATCTAAGTGTTTTTTTATTTTCATTGTAAACAAAAAACGACATTTTTTTTCCGATTTAATTTTTAATGAATATTATTACAAGATATATCAACTTTTAGTTCTTCCATATCATCATGTTCAACAAGTCCAAAAAATCTTAATAGTGATATTAATGAAAATCAAACATTAGTTAGGTAAAAAAAAATGAAAATTTAATTATTTTCAAATTTATTTTTTTCCCTTCTTAGTTCTCCTATCATTCAACGACTTGCATCATCAGGAATCGATATCAATCAGCAAGATCATGATAATAATAGTTCTAAAAATGGTATAAAACCACCATTTTCTTATGCTCAATTAATAGTTCAAGCGATTTTATCGGCACCTGATAAACAAATGACATTAAGTCAAATATATAATTTCATATCAGCTCAATATCCATATTATGAAGCTAATAATCGTGGTTGGCAGAATTCTATTCGACATAATCTTAGTTTAAATCGTTATTTTATACGTCTTGCTCGAAAAGAAAATGAATCTGGTAAAGGAAGTTTTTGGCGTTTAGATGAAACATGTGAAGAAAAATTAGTTGATCATGCATTTCGTCATCGTAAACAACGTGGAAATTCAATTTCATTTAATTCGTCGAATAATGATTTAAATTTAAATAAATCGGATGATGCACATTCACCAACAACACAATATCAAAATGATCAAACTGATTTTTTATTAGCTGATATTCATACAAGTAATCCATCAACACCATTATCACCAATGACAAGTCCATTGGTCGGTCCAATTATTGAAGCTATATCTCCTATTAAATCAGTGGAAGATAATAAACGAAAACGTGATGATGATGATGACGATGATGTTGATGGAGATTTACGGTGAGAATAGAAAAATATGATTTTTGTTATTATTATTTATTTTTATTTTATAGAAATGAACAACAAATTGAAGATTTATTAAATGATCTTACTGCATCAATAGATGAAACAGTAAAACGTCAAAAAACATTAACTGAATTATCATCATAATGTTATTAATGAAAATGTGTTTTTTTTTCTTATTTTTATTTTATTCGAGAAAGAAACTAAATCATAATATGTTCTAGAATTTTTTTTTCTTCGTCTTCTTTTTCTTTTGTGTGTATCAAACTGATTCACATACATATGTTGTTATTAATGAATTACTGATTTCTTTTTCTTTTATATGAATAAAATTATTTAATTGAAAAGATTTATTTGAGATTATATGAACAAGATGGAAATGACTGATGATTGAAAATAAATAAGAAATTTCCGTATCTCATACTACATCGAAAGAAACTCATTTCCTTTTTTTATTTAGGAGATTGTTTATAATATGTGTAAATATAGGAAAAGAATTCGGTTTTATCAGTACTTCAATTAGATTTTTATATGAAGGGAGATTATTAGAATATGAAAATTGCAATATTTGATAATAATATTTACATGAGGAAATATTGAATTGACATTTTGCATATATATTTAAAAATAAAATGCGTAGAGTTAGGTTTTAATTACAAATAATAGACAATCAAACTGATAGTATCTTTTGTTATATCACCAAGGAAGAATATATGAAGTCGTATAAACTGCGATGACGGATATTAATCTAGTAGTAGTTATTTTAAATATTGAATTATGAATAGTTTCCATCGTTTTCTTTACCCAACACCAAGAAGTTTAGGTGTAGTTGAATAAATAGAACAATTAGTCTTGTAGATGGTACTTTTTGTATCAATTGTAATAGCAGGATAAGTTACTGATGAAGAAATAATTACTTGACAAGTATTATTAGTTGTATAACAATTGACATAACAACATATCGATGATGATAATGACATATATGTCATACATTGACAAATACAAGTTGAACAATTCGATTGAAATGTAGATGTTGAATTTATAATACGACCATATTGAATTTTATTAATAACTGTACCATTACTTAATGATAAATAACTGAAAATGATTATAGAAATACAGTGAAAAATAAACATCGTTGTTAATAATATGAAAAATAAGTCATGAGCATTTTTATACGATGTGTTCTTCAAACAAAACTTTTTCTTTTTGAATAAAAACAAAATAGAAAAAAAATGAATTTCCATTAATTATTTTTAAGTGTTATCAAAAAAATTATAATTTATTTTCAGGACTAATGCATTATTTTCAATTAGAAGTCAAATTGAGAAAATCATTGTTTTGCATTTAAAATACATGACAACGAAAATAATGATTACTTTTGTCCTGAAAACTAATGATTATAGCATGCTGTTACTATATAATATACGCAACAATGAACAGACTAATGATTATTCTTAACACGATCATTCGGTAACTGCTATTTAAAATCAAAGCTCGAGAAATATGAATTTTTAATTTTATTTGTAAAAGAACATCAAGTTCTACTTCATGAACTGAAAGAATTGACCTATTTCCTGATGATTTGAACTAGAATTATTGATGTTATAAGCATCTAATATTTCCTGTAGATCCGTCCATTTCAGTAGCAATGGTACGATCTAATTGATTTTCAGATCGTGCACAAATATAAGCTTCTTGTTTTTCATATATTATATAATTAATAGACTATTGAAAAGACATTGTAGGCAATATGAGATGTTACCAGAAAGAGAAGGTAAACTAATATTTTCTGATGACAACCTCGAATCAAAATGCAAATTTTTTTCTTTGTTAAGCATGTCATTAATATTAAAAACATTATGTAAAAATGGAAGTAAGTCAATAAATCTTGTATTGTTATAAGAAGTCAGAAATCTTAGAAAAATTCTGTCTATTAATTTTAAAATCTCTATGATGTTTTGTCTTTTTACTGCAATCTAATTTGTTAAAATCCAGCCTTGTTAGTCAATATTTAACTTTCGTAGGTAGAATTAATAAATCAACACGTGCATTCTTCCATTCCATGAGGAACTTCGAAAATGGAATTTATTATTTGTCTAGGTGAAATTAGAGATATGGAATGAAAATAACTGATGTTAGGGTTACTGAAGAAAAATCCATGATTAAAAGGTCATAATAAGGACAAAAGGATTAAAAAAGAGCAGATGGAAATGTTAAGTCATTATACATTTTAAAAATATTATACTACAGTTAACTGAAAGTACAACAACAAATATCCATGTCATTTACGCACAAAAGTATTTATTTGGATAAACTTTTTTGAGTTTTAGTTAAAAAATCATGCATTTCCGAGCAAATTTTGGGCATATGTGGCGTAGGAGAAGTACAGTATTAGATACGATTTGAGAAAAACTTGGATTCTTTGGTATTTTTAGTATATATCATGATAAAAGTTCATTTTTAAAGTCATAAATCAATTTATAGTATACTTATCTAGCACAACCGGATACAATTAATATCATATAAAAGAGTATATATATATTCTCGGATGTAGTCCCCGTAAAATTCATATTTAAATCATGAACGAATTTAACCAAGTGTTAAATGTTTCTTTTCCTTTATATATATTTATAACTTTTTAGTTACACACGAATAAATACTTTTTCAAATATAAAAGTAGCATTAAAACACTTTAATTCATTAATATATTAAATTTGTTATTCTGTTTTTATATCCAGACGTCTATTAAAATTAAGTGCAAATTGTATGAACACTTTTATTTATGCATTTAGTATAAGAAAAATGGCAGTAATATGTGGGATGTATGTCATATAAGGTTAGTATTATCGAAAAGATGCAAATCTAAAGTCATAACTCTTTTGAACTTAATTAATTACTAAATAAATATAAAATATACATACAAATTAGTAAGTAATATATTTAATTATATAGAATCAGAATACAAAAAAGTGCGATTATACCTGAAAAAGAAACATTAAACACGTAATAATGTCGCTTGAAGACATACATGATTTTACTAGATTAGTGTTTCTTATATTATCTGCTTCCTTTCAGTTAATAACAATAAATAAGTACTGTTTTTATTATTGTCATTCTTGAATTCCGAAAATTGTATCATAGACTTTTATATTAAAAGAAATCATAGATGTTATTTTCATTAGAGAAAGTAATCGTAATATATGTTATATGTCTAGTCTAATCTCATTGAAAGAAACTTAATTTTGACAGAAAGTGCTTTTAGTCGACTGTGAATCATCGAAAGCACTAGATAAAAGAGTAGACTTCTATTAATAAACTCATTAAACTTTATTAATTACTTGATAACTAAAATAAAGAACTATATGTAACTAATAAATGCGCAGAAAAAATATTTACATATGGTCGGCGTAAGTTTTCTTTTTTTTTCTATTTAAATGAATGACTAAGATTTATATTAGTAATATATACTCAGCGGCATTTTGATGATAAGCATTTAGTTGTATTGTTTTCGCTATGGCGTTGAAAAATATCAACTTGGTCATGGTAAGTGCATATTCTCAAGTTTTCATGAGAAAATCAGGATATTATCTTGTAAGTAGTTGTATTGTTAGAATTTTGCTAAGATAGAACAAATAGATTTATTAATAATAGACATATAATCTGTCTGTTCGTTAAGAAACTTTAAAGAAATGATTATTTGATCCGTAAGTAAAGAGCGTCTTGTAATATATATTATATATATATAATTCAATCTATTAATTAATTGAAATTGGATAAAAAGAAGATGTACATTATTATTATTCTGGTCTTTTGCACACGTCACATATATATATCTCGTTTATTATTTCTAAAAGTATAGTCTCTTTTAACTCTCTCATTTTCTCTATAATAGGTTTATAACAAGGAAAAAAAAGAGGCATCGTTATACACGTATGTAATATTAAACTGAGATTCATAAGAGAGAAAAAGACCAAATAACATCCTTATCTTTTATCTTAGTTGCATTATTGATATGAATGCTCATTTTGTTTTCTTAGCTTCAGACTATACCTACTTATTATTCAAATGAGTATGTTCATCTTATTTGATTTTTAAAATAATAGTTCATTTGAGCAATTTTATATTTTTATATGAGATAAGATTTTGTATTAATGGAACAGACAAGATAGAAAATTAGTTTATGCTATGCGTGTGCGTTTAATTATCTTGATATGCGTGCAAAATAGAAATGTACTCATTGCAATAAATAGGAGTAAATTTTCATCGTTATATTTAGTTGATAGTAGGTAACCTGGTTGATAGTTGTAAACAAAATGAACTAATCAACAGGAAAATCATGTTTTATTCTTATTTTGATTAATCTTCATGATTTGGAGTACTTCTATCCAGTATTTATTAGTGAAAACAAGTTCATTTGCGTGCCTCGGTTTTTTCTCATCTTGTCATTCAATTAATAAAACAGTATGATTGAGTATGTAAGTATGAATAAGTATATCAAAAGTCATATAAAATGAACATAAGAAGTAAGATACGAAGATCTATTGATCATGTTCACTAATGGTAATTATTTATTTAGTTAGTCAGAAAAATAAATCTACGCAATTGAACATTTCAACTGCATAGATTTATTAGTTATTAAAATAGATTTTATGTTTGTCTAATTTTTTATCAAAAGGAGTAGAACACATTTATAAATAAACCATAACATTAAATTTACGTCAGACATTTTATTGACATCAACAGTACTATGTTGGCATACATACAAGCATGAGCTGTTCCGTTGCATTTATTTTTGTATGAAGTAGTATTGTTTCTCTCGGCCATTACGGTATGAGACATTTTGTTATTATTATGTGTTTCTACTACGAGTACTTCCGATAGACATACATTTCTGCTATTTTTTTTGAAGAAAATGATCATATAAGTGAACATGACCTTATCTACAATAGCAGGAAATGCCTTTCAGGCTTTTACAAAAATATGCAGATTTGAGAGACATGAAATGTCAGATAAATAGGCACATGATAAGTACCTACATAAAATGCTGATATTTATCAATTTTTTTTTATAACAATCGTTAAGTATTCGAGGGAAATAGAAATTAACGAGAAATAGTATTAAAGATTGAACGAATTAAGTAGACTTTTTCTATAATTCTTAATAGTCATGTAGACAAATGAAATAGCGATATATTGCCGTAGGGTAAATCAGACATATTTTATTTGTGATTTGTCCAATGAAATAGTTCTATCAATAATATTACCGATAAAAAGAAATTATAGCAATTATTGTAAAAATAGAAACGTGATTTTTTTCTCGATATTCAATAATTTATCTGAGGATTTACTGAATGATTTCTTCTTATTTTCCATAAACATTTTTCGAGTATAAAGTAAGTATTAGATGATGATCATCATCATTTACTGGATAATCTTTAGTTCTATTATAATTTGTTGCGTTCATTTATTTATTCCTATTCTTCTCATTAATTTCAAGAAGTTAGAAAAAACAAATGCACTTCTCTATGCTTAAGTGAAATTATTTTCTTCTTCGTATATCAATGTTTACTCTTTCTATTATGTACCTTGTGTTTGACGTCAGCAAAAGGCATTACGTGGGTAAGAGTTCAAAGAATCCAGTTTTGTTTTTCAAGAAAATATTATCTTCCAAGGTATTTAAATAAACAATAGATATTCTACTTCTTTTCTTTTTTTGATCATTGTTTATATTATTTTTCAACAAAAACTTTAAAGCATTTTCAAACATAGATAATTAATTTTATTCGAGTAATTTAACCACAAAAGAGAACATTAACAAAAGAATAAATCATTTAGAATTAATAGATAAAAATAAATGAATAAGAAGAACGCACAATTATCTATCATCTCCCACTTTCTTTTCAATATACACGAATAAACACATACACTAAATAAGATATAATATGTTAAAAGTGCAAACAGGAAATATATGATTAATGTAAAGAAAACTATGAAATAAGATAATTGACTAGTATCGTTTTAATTTCAATGTATATATATAACATATAATTAATGAAATTTGTGTTCTTTTTACTTGATGACTATAGGATTCGTCTAAGCATAATAAACGTTTTATATAGATTTCATGTTAGAGAAAAATTGTTAAAAATGAAGAAGAAAAACAACTGACAGAAGAATTATTTACATTAAAATATTTTTCAACTGATTAGTTCTACAGACAAGGTAGAAGAAAGAAAAATAAAAGATGAGCGTGAAAAAAAAAATCTTTTTGTCAACTATTTTCTCTCTTTCTCTTTTCCTTTTTTGTTACACCATCTGTATGGTCTCGTCGCATGTTACACTATCGTCGTTTCCATTTCATTTCTCTTTTTCTTTTCACAAGTATTATTAGACAAAGATAAGATATGACTTTACTGAGAAACTTAGTACTTAGGTATCAGATTACATTGAAGAGAAAAAAATGAAACGACTTCCGTAATGAGGAAACCGTGCACTTTTGATTTGCATTGTTGATCTATTTTTATTTCATCTTAATATTTTTGATTTTCATCGAATACAATCTATATCTTTTAAATAGAATGGGGAGTTTTATTTAATATGATTCACGATTTATATTATTCGTTTGTATTAGAAAAATTCTTATTAGATGAAATACTATCATGGGGGAGGAAGAAATCTATTTAAGTATATCCTTTATTTTTTAGATTTAAATATCATTGTGTTAGCTAACAAGCACTCGCATAATTAACTTTTCAAAGTTCATCAGTTCATCAATTTATTATCGGCATTACTACACTTGTCTCTTTTAATCTGTTTTATTGGGATCAAAAGGACATATATATATATTTATATTTATTCCTACGCACTGAAAGATTAAAGCCATGAATAAGTATGTTTTTTCTCTCTTCTATAAACAATACAATTCTTTTTCAATATTATTTTTTAGTTCCACAGGTAATGAAGATTATTCAACTTTACTACTTATAAATCGCATAGTTTATCGTGATTATTTCCTATTTCTTATAATGGCTGGTACTTGTGGTAATCTTTTAACAGCAGTAACACTTCTTCGAGCGAAATTAAGAAAATATACAACATGTCAATTTATGGCTGTTTGTGCTGTTTTAAATACTGGAGTTTTATTAACAAATACATTAAATTTAACTTTTTCACTTGGTTATGGTATTCATGTTCGTAGTTTATATGATCTTGGTTGGTGTCGTTTAAATGTTTTTATTGCTCAATGGATACGTGGTTTAGCATCATGGTTTCTTGTTATTGTTGCATTTGATCGTTTTAGACAATCAAAAACAATTCGACGTATACCAGCAAGAAAAAATCCTATGCTTTTTTATTCAATATTTATTGCTGGTTTTATATTATTAATATTAAATGTACATTATCTTCTATTTCTTGGACAACGAGTCTCATTAGATAACCAAGAATCGTTTTTAGCATGTATATTTCATAAGAATAGTTTTGATCCTGTTCAACGATTTTTTGCCAAAATAAATATGTGGCAAGAACTAGTTACAATTATAATCATCGTAAGTTTTCCTTTTGTCTCAAATAGACACATAGAAGAAGCAGAGAGAAAAAATATGAGAAGTATTGAATTTCATATTATATACAAGAATAGAAACTACTTCTTGTTTTTTTTCTTTAATAAATAATATTATATAATAATACTAAAAATATTCTTTTTTTATTTTAGCCATGTATATTAACGTTAATATTAAATATTTTTATAATAAAAAATTCTTTTCTAAATCCAGTTAATAATGAACAATTAAAATCACGTTCAAAAAGTCGAACAAGACGTGTAACAACAATGTTACTTGCATCGAGTATTGGTTTCTTAGCACTTGTTGCTCCTGCTCAAATTTTTAATGCTTTATTATTTGATCCAGATCGTCGGGATCCGGCTGCATATATATCATTTATGATCCGTGGAAATATTTTTCAATGTTTTATTAATACATATTATGGAGCATCATTTGTTTTTTGTTTTGCCTCATCATCTATATTTCGACGTGAAATAAAAAAACTTCTACATAGACAATACAAAGCCAAACATATATTGAATCGTGCGATTAGTGGACCAACATCTTCACATGAAGTTCGACCATTTATTCTACACGCACAAGTTAGCACAGCTAACTGTTCAAGCTGTAGTCGAATTAATGAGTATGTACTTGAAAGAACAAATTCCAAACGAGCAACTCAATCTACAAGTGAAGGTCAAGAGCTACATTATCAACAATAAATTGTTTTTCTTTTTTTCTCTCTCTCTCTAAATGTCCAATGAACGTAGTAATGTTTCTTTCGTCTTAATTCATATCTATGAAAACAACAATTAATACGATTTGTTATCCCTGTGGTTTTATTTGTTGGTGATTGTATTAGTTATTGTGTATATGTTTTCATTCATATGATCTGTTAAAAAAAAATAATAAGATTTTAAACTATTATTTCTTCTAATCTTAATTAAAAGTCTCAGATAAAAAAACAAAAGATCTTATAGTAAATAATTTATCTTCTTTCATTATTGAAAGCTTTTTTTCCTCTATAATAAAAAAAGTATATCTTTAATTTATCTATGAATTACGACGAAGATAAAAAAAATGAATGAATTATTAAGTTTATCTGATCTACTTTCTTCTTTGTTTAAAACTTAAATAAAGATGATTACGCATATAATCATACTATCGAGAAATACGAAAGATTTTCAAGATTCCAGTGGTTTGTAGTACACAATAATAAAGAGAGAATAACATCACTTCAGCATGTTCGTCATTATTTTTATATTAATTAAACTATGACGTTTGCGTTTTTTTGAGATATTTATAGTAAATACTTTATGTACCATAAATTAATTTCTTTTCATAATATTTACTTGTAATCTCGTATCAGACTTTGATTGTCAAATATAGAAACAAGTCAATTTTTTTTTATCTATTATAATAACCTTTTTTTTGTTTTGCATTTAGTAAGAAATACATATTCATTAGCAATACTGATTAATAATTCCATTAAAAAAAAAGAAAAGATTTGAATAATATCATACATAATATAGTTGTCTGTTTGAATATGAAGATTTAGATTATTTTGGGTTTTTGAGAATCTTTGTATTCTGGGTACATCTTTGTTAATACTTATTTTAAGATCTTATATTATTTGTATAAAACAAAATTAATTCATGGATTAATTTCCCTATCATTAATTCTATTCGAAAATGAAAAAGAACGCTTTATAAGTCTTTTATTAATCATCAAATGTCAACTTTTGAAATGCAAATTATTCCGCCCCAATGATTCGAATAGAAACCTGTTATCTATACTTCAAAGGAGTAAAACATTACTAATTAGTTATTTTGCCTAACGACATTCATGACATTGTATCACTTTAACAAGTACAAACGCCTTCGTTAATATTCTCCCTACCTTTCAATTACCAATTCAGTTTGGTATATCTAATTAATTGAAATAAAATTTAGTCATGTTATTAATTATAACATGAAATCTTCATATTAGTCGATAATTAAACACAAAAGAATATTGCAATACTCTATAGATGTAAATATATTATGTTATTACGAATGAGTTAATAAACTTTTACGTTAATCGTTACATTTTGTCCTTCACATGAAATGAATTCAAGTGATGAACGAAACGCATTAATGATAATGAAATAATTTATTTTTGTTATTCTGTTTATACAACCTGACTTTTTGTTTGGCAAATTATTTCAACATGAAATAAGATAATTAGTTTATAATTGAAAATCATAAGTACTATAGATCATAGAGTAACAGATTGAATTATCATAATGTCTCTCAGAAGAAAAAAACGATTTTTAGGATATAAATATTTTTAATCACCGATTGAATTGATTTAAATTTCTGGACATTATTGTTGTCTCACATAATAGATACTTTGATTATGCAGAAATCTGCGTGACATTGTTCATTCTTTATGTTATTTATCGTTACAATAGAATATTCTGATCAGTTTTTATCTATTCGTCATATAAATCCATGATGAAAAGTACTTAAACTATTGCATTTAATTGGATGTCATTATTAAATATTAGGATCAATAATTGTTTCCTTGATAAAGAAAAAGACCAATGATGACTCTACGAATTTGCTTCTTTTTATTATCTAGACTTTACTCACGTATATAAATAAATATAGGAAAAATAGATGACAAGTTACATTAATTGACTGAAATATAGACGTCAAATTGTGAGTAGGAAACGCATGAAATGTAGGTTATTAGTAAATTACTTTAGAAGTCATTTCATTATTAATTTTCTCAATAGAAAACCCAGAAAAAATGAATTGTTTTTTTTAGACTCCCTCAATCTAAATAAATAATGCATTTATATGATATTTTCTCAGGAATAATATACAACGAGACTATATTTATCAATAATGATATTCACATCTGTGGAGCATAGCCTTTATCAATAAATTACGAACTGTATATTATTCAAATAACACTTAAGTTTTAATATTCTATCTCTGCTGTATATGATTGTCAGTTGATTGTACTGTGTTAACTATAGAAAATATATATAGGATTGTAAAACTTAATCTGACTAAAAAACGAAGCATTATTGATACATCCTGGATAAGCAAATGTTTTTCTGTCGATTATTATCTGTCTGAATAAGTGCACTGACAAAAGAATTAATCTTAATTTTTCTGTTTACAATAGTTTTTAATTTGTCATTTCTATATATAATAGTAGGAGTACAAACAAGGAAAATAGTTTTTTTTTTTAATTTTTCTTTTTGTAAGTGACGTCTGCAAATTTAGATAAGCTTGAAGTGTGTGAGTAAAAAGAACAGTCTGACAAGTTTGAGAAGTTCAAAAGTATGAAAGAGTGTATATTTTTTTTGATTAATTAAAATTCTTTCTAATTAATAAAGTAATTTTTTTTGTAGGATTACCCACAATTGCAGGTGCAGACAATACTTCTAAAAAAGAACAACATATACCACTAGGTCGATAGAATAAAAATTGAATGAAAATAGATTCCTTATTACTGCTGTTATGCTGTTAGACTCAGCAACAGCTAAAGATATTTTAATAAAGTGAATCCTAATCAATAGGGACATATTGTTTTTATCTCGAAAGGTCAACTGGAACTCTATATGACGTCAATAAAGCTAAAATTACCAAATATATGTTCTGACATTCAAACTCATATTTAACAGTTGAAATAACATGTAAATCAAATGATTTGTTATAGATATTCTATACCCTAGACAGTTTCCGATAGTAGTTATTTTTATCTAGCGCCTGTTTCAATTGTAATTTGCGGAGATATTTTGCTAATTGATCAGAGAGATGTATCCACAATCGAAAAGTAGTTCAAAGTTCAATCATTAATGTATTTTGACATGTACTTGATTATTATCCAGGATGCGTGCTCAATAGGAGATATTATTTTTCACCAATTAAGAAAAAATATTCCACTAAGTAGAATCAGAGAAGATAAACAAAAATAAGTCTATTGCGGAGTTAAGATAATATTTGCTAAATGATGATTATCAATAAATATTGCGATTGATGCACAATAGACAACTAATTTTGTCTCGACTCATAATCAAGATCACACCCACACTCTCAAGATGGTCTTGCATTATTGCTGGTTTATATGATAATTCTAGAAAAGTTATCATTGTTCATGATCGATATTTTTATTTTATTGATCTAACTTAGAGATGTTACAAATCCCAAGGATAATATGTATTTAAAGGTTTAGATTCGGATATGATTTAACCTATGCTACGTCGGAAAGATAGACTATCTACAAGAATGATATACTTGCTATGAATGCTTTGGATTTGAACTTGGACACGATTCTAAATCGTGAAATTTTGCTTTCAGACTGTGAAGCATTCCTAGCAAATGTATCGTTCTTATTGATATTTTACCTCTCAAATACGGTAGATTTGAGACTAAACCTAAATCTCACAGCTGTGGATTTATTGTGTCCCTAATTTAATTTGACCTCTTCTACTTTATATACTATTAATTATTTATATAATACGTATTGATACATTACATATGAGCATTTTCTTTTCCAAGTAAGTCATCGTATATCTCATTTTTGTCTTATATTTCACATATACGCAGTCATATTTATCCTCTTCTCCAAATTCTACTTCGCGAACATTTTTCCACACGGAAGTTATCTGAGTACATATCTAATGTTGTAAATTACATTAACAAACTATAGGTTCTCCAATCTAGGTCGTCACAAACTGATCAATCACAAAACGAATAAATAATATAACAAGCTAATCATGTCTTTCATTTTAGTCTTCTTTGATATTAGATAGAACAATAATTTGTACTTTAAACGAAGTACTTGAAATATATTTATTAGTAGGCAGTCTCTAGTATCTATTTTATATCATGATTTTAAACAAAAAAGAAAATAGTAGATGACAAAAACATATATATGTAGGCAGACTGGATAGTCTATTATTTCCTTCCAATTCAAGGGTTACCTTTTTCTTTACGACATCCAACTTCCTATATTGTTAATAAAACAAGAGTACTTATTATTTTCTTTTACAGATATTTATTCAAAAAGAACAGGAAACATCATAAAAGAAACTCATATGATATTAAGGCTTATTAAAATACATCTATATATAGATAATTGAACGTTCTCCATCTGGAAGTAACTTTAAAATATTTTTAAAATGATCATGAAACGATGACGTGCAGGAACATGTCAAATAGTCTATTTATATAAACTTATTCCATACCAGTTCATTCTTTCTTTTCTATAGGGGAAAAATTTAAAACTGAAATTTGTCTACGTTCGTGTTTAGCATATGAGAATAAACCTCGATGAAAAATACAAGGACTATACTATTCTAATAATAATTATCCTATATTAAATATAAAAATCTTCTTAAATAAATAGATTCTTTTATTTTAATCTTAAAAGTGGTGCTTGACGAAAAATAATAAAAAAAACAAGTATATTACTAACTAAAAATACAAAAACAAGTAAACGATCAACAACTCGACTTAGTATTTGCCATTCTTGTCCTACTGTTGTTAGATGTTCTTGTTGTTCATAACGACGTTCATTTTGTTCAACAAGACGATGAATATAATCAATAGATGATTTTAAATTATTCGTAATTCTATTTGATGATTCATGCAGATAATTCTGATTATCTTTATCATTAAATTTTTGTTGTTGCTGTTGTTGATGATGATGCTGTTGTTTATTCGATGAATTAGTTGACGATTGAAATGATGTATACGAACGTAGAATTAATGGCGGAGATGTATAAAAATCACATGAATGAAGATTATCAGAATATGTCAATGAACTTGTTGCGATTGTGGGATCATTCTCAACAGAATCTTCATATAATGTCATTTTACCATTCTGTAAAATATTATTTTTATTTGTACAATCATATTTATTTGCTAAATATTTATTAGGTGGTTGTTTGGTTTGTTTTTTCTTTGTTTTAGTTGGTGATGATGACTATAAATATAAAAATAGATTTTTTGCTTAAGAAAAAAAATTTGATTTTATTACCATGCATTTAAGAAGACTACTTCGACGAACTTGCCAATTTGTAGGAAGTTCAATTTTCATAAAGAGTAATTTAGGAACAATTATAAAAAATATACGAGCTAACCATTTTGGAACTGGATGAGGATTATGTTTACCATGATGATATAGATTAAGAGATGCAACAGACATTGCTGTTGCTATACTTACAATTATAATTGCAGAAAAATAATAAATACCTAAACATAATGACATATGTAGTAAGATATCAATAGACTATTCATTTTTTTTTGATTTATCTAGTCGATAAAAGTTATTTATTATTTAGATTAGCATACCAATTAAGGGTAAAGATTCTGAATTAGGCGGCATACTATCCGTAACAAGCATAAGAAAAACGGTCATTGAAAGAAGAGTTGTTACACCGATTTGTACTTTTTCACCTAATTTAGAATAAATAAATCAATTGAATTGATAATTAATAGAATAAATTGTACGTACCACTATCAGATGGAACACAAAAACCAAGAAAAGCAACAGTTGTAATAAGAAAACATGGAAGTATCATATTAAATACATAAAACAATGGACGACGACGCATTTGTACTACATAAGTTAAATCAGGAAATGTTTCTGGGCCTAATTATAGTTTCAATAATATTAGTGTGAATTTATTCTATTCGTTTACATACAACAAGAATATTTGACAACACTTTTTTTCACATGTAATTTAATAATTTCCCATTCTAAAACAAATAATAAATATATGTATATATAATCAATAAGAAAATCTACCAGAATTAGCCATAAAATTACTTAAATCACCGATATTTGTTTTTTGTGCTAAATCGATTCGAGCACTATCATAAGTCCATGAGGCAAATTTCAATGAGCAATTTTGTTCATCTGTATCATTCGATAAATTTATTAAAAGAAATATATATATTTATGTTTTTTTTTACCAAAAGGAAAAAAGCGAACATCAACAGCACATGAACTTCTAAAAATACCCGTTGATAACCATGTAACCATACCATCCGAAGACACCATGACATTTGTTGATATTTGACTCAATGATGCCAGATTATCAGCATTCTAAATCAAATATAGATTTTTATATAGTCAAAAATTTGAAAATTATGTTTTTAATAGAAATCAACGATAAAATATTATCAAATATCGTTATATTTATTGTAATTATAAGTGGTTAAGTTAAGTGTGCTCCATTTTTGAAGTTTATGGATATCTAAGTTTTCGCAAAAACTGCAATCATCTGTTTTTGATTGCTCTAATAGATACTCTGAACCGTTCTGAGTCGACTGGTGACGATCAAGTAAAGAAAAGCACATAGTTACAAGCTACAATTTGTTGAAAAACTTCAAATTCGGAGCTCACTTAGCTTGACCATTATAAATATAGTATAAAAAGAAAACGTAAACTGATAATTTTTGACAATTTTTTTCTATTTCTATTTTATCGAGAAAATCAATTCAGTAAACTTTAGATTATTAAGAACATCTAGAAGAATAAATACGATATTTTCACATTTAAAATACTCAAATTTTTGCTCTTAAACGTTGGTAACAAATCACGTGTTTTCATAAAAAAAGCACGTTTTTTTCTTCTTCATATAGTTTATATATATATCCTTATTATATTTTACGAAGAAAGTCCAAAACAGATCCGAGTTGATAGTATGAGAGTTAAATGAACTGTTAAATAAATTCTAATTGTATAATATCTTAGAATTTATTATAATAAACATTGACTTCTGTTGGTCCATGTTGAACTTAGATGCTGATCCGGAAGCAGGAAATCATAGAAAATTCTATTACTTTGTTGAAGCAATTTATTCTCTTCCTTCTTACTTAATGGCTCATATTAACTACAGTGTTTTTAACTTAATTTAATGGTTTACTATTAGAACAAAAAACAGAATTTATGTGATATTTACATTATACAAAACAATATCAGGTAACCAAATTTTATCATATTTAATATGAAGTAAACTAACATTATCCCATTCTAATGGATTCCAAGTAAGTTTTGGATCAAGCCAACTCTATCAAATAATATATATATAATAGAATAAAAGGATCACAACAAAAAAATTTCATATGTAGAAATACCATAGTTAACCATTGATTTGTTGTAATAATTTGATTTTTTTCGTCAACATCAATAAGTTGAGCTAATGATAGATCAAATGAAATATTTGTTACATCAGTATGACTAACTGCTGGCCGTACTGATTTATCATATACAATTGGATTTAATAAAGCTCGAGTTAAATTCATTTCAACATCACACATAATTATTCCTATTTGTGATTAAAAAAAACTATATTGATAATAAATACAAAATTGAAAATTCATACCTGATATTAAATAACAGACTATTAGAAATATAAATTCCTTATTGAAATAAAGCATTGTGTATGTATGTATACGTGTGTTAATAGTGCGGAATGATAATAACAGTAAAAAGAGCAACTAAAACGGGATACCCCCGACTAATTGAGTTATTCGTTGTTATAGGCGTTGTTACATCCTTTGTTATTCCAAACTATGATGAATCGAACGAACGATCTTATCGAGCATATACGACAATACCAATCAGAACCTGACATTCGTCTTTTATTTTTATTATATGAATGAATATATATATGTATCCAAATGTATGTATAGTTGTTTTTCAAGGAATAAATATATATATATGTTTTCGTAAGAATTTCAGGTGATGAATAATACAAATAAAAGATATATATTATTTATACTAAAAAAAAGAAAAAAAAGACAATGATCACAACTCATATTTTTTGATCATTCAATGCGGATCAAATCAGCAAGGGAAGAAATAACATGGTAAACTATGAGTACATGTTCGAAATAAGAAAAAGAACTATTTCATCTTATACAACAGCAAAAAAAATGGAAGAAGAAGAAAATAAAAGAATGCGCCGAACATATCGTTTTGATAGACAGATGGAAAAAGACAAGAGTATTCTTCCGATGAGTGCAAAGAAAAATCAAAAGTTCGTAGATATATATATATATACGTTGTTTAATATGGATCCTTTTTTGCGTAAAAAAAGCAACCGTGCGGAAGTGTGTGTTGTGACATATTCAAGTACTGTAATTTCCTTCACTAGTATTGTTTTCTTTTTTTTTAATATGAGATTCTCAATTAAACAAGATCAATAATATGTGATGTTTCAGCAAATGATAACCGATCTATTTTTCTATCAATAAATATGATACTTTATTAAGGACATGCTTTTTCTTTTTGAGCACTTATTGCAAGAACTAATATAAGAAAGATTTGATGATGTTAATATAGAATAGACCTTGATTATTGAAGCATATGTTATTTTCGATTAGAAATTATTGAATAATTTCTTGTCTTTTATATTTAAATTACAATACTATGCTTCATAAGTAATTGTATTTTCTAGTCGCAATAGTTTGTTTTAATTCAATTGAATAGAAACTATAAAGAATGAAACAACTAATGAAAAGGTTATTGAAGAATAAAAATCGATGATATTTATAAACTATAGAAAAAAAAGCCGAATCATAATCCTAAGTATCTTTACTGGTAAACTAAACATGAATGGACTCAATGTGTCTAAGTGTTCTTGTTTATCACGTATTTATTTCGTCTAATACTTATTGTGTACCGTCTATCATTAAAGCATGAATAATCTGTAGGCGAAGGAAAGTTTTTCCTTGTAAGTGGTAAGATATTTCAAAACTATTCTTTATACACGTAATTAAGCAGACATTACATTAGTTTATGCATATCCAAAAGAAATATTACTTGAACAGCACGTTTCTTTTTCCGATTTCATGCTATAAACATATTTTTATCTCAAGAACACTTTAACAGTATTAACTTAAAGGTTTTATGATTATGTCTAGTCTATAACTAAAATCATTACAGTATTTCTTAGCAATGAGCTATTTGTATTAAATATTTTTACCTACATAGTAATATATAATAATGCTCACCGAATCAACATTTGTTAGAGTTCATATGTTGTCTGATAATCTAAAAGCAAGATAATTTTTCTTTGAGAAGTATTTTACCACCTACAGAATATAGAAAACAGCAGCTTATTACTTAAAACTAATTTAGAAGAGAAAATGTGAGATGCTCACTAGGAACATAATCTTCATTTATGTTGTTGTACCTTCATAAACAGAAGTTAAGAATACTTTAGACAATCTTTTAATCATATTTTTATCGTAGGAAGAAATTCTTATAGAAACATAAAATATTCAGCGTAGATTTATTTTAATTATGACGGTTAAATTTCATTTTTACTTTTTTAAAAAAATGATTTATATATAAAATTGTCAATAAGATGAAAACTCAATATAAAATATTTGATTTATACTTTGATATTTAAAAAATTCACTACCATCATTGTTCAAGTATAATATAAAACTACAGAACGTTTAATTTCAATCTTTCTATAAACTATTGATTAAAACATATTCAATAATACCTCATTAATTTAGAACTGAAATAGTAACATCTATTAAATTGGATTATTATCTGATAGTTAGATTATATGCAAAACGCGCTCTCTCTCTCTCAAGTCAATTGTAGTATAGTAGTCATTATATTTATTATTTTCTAATAAATTATTAAACATAAAACAAAATTGTCTTATATTATTTAAGTTTAAAAAAAATTTTAAATTTACAGAGGTCGCTAATATCATAATAAAAATACTTTCGTTGATTCACACATCTTTCCCTTCTCTCTATTGTCATGACAATATTAAACACTAATGGTGGACATATTTTGTTGTCTTCATAAAAAAAATTTAACATACACTCTTTCATTCAAGCAAACTAAATATGTATAAACTCGATCTTCCCATTGATCATAAAGAAAAAGCAGCTATTGAACGACGTCGTCGTGCTGAACAAGAACGTCAAGGACGAATATTCAATTCGAAATATCGACAAATAGGGGTTTGAAATACTCTGCGAATTTAATTGTATTCTTATCGGTTACATAGGTTGATAAAAATACTCTTGATCAACAAATTCAAGATCGTAAATGGATGGAAGACTTAGAACAAAAACGAGCATCTGCCTTTGGTAAATATCTCAACTATAATTAAACAAAAAAAACATTTTTTTTTCTCTCTTATAAAAATAGCTAAAGATGCCGTTCGAAATGATACCATAGCTCAATTACTTCAACGTCGTCAAGAATATGATGAAAGAGAAAATAATCGAGCATTAAATGAATTTCGTGCTTTACATCAACAACCATTTGCTCAACGTAAACTAGTCAAAAGATTTTCTTCTAAAATTCTTATTATTTTCTAATTAATAGGTGAATGGGATTTAAATGATCCAGACTTTTTAAAGAAAGATATGCCAGCACGTATCTCTGACGATGATCCACGTTGTGGTATAGCTACTTTACAAAAATTTCAAGGTGAAGATCTTAATTCACGTGCACGAGCGAAATATCAACAAGAACAATTACGTGAATGGTCACGTTTACAGAAAGAAGATCAACTTCGTGCACAACAAGAACAACATTCAGCTGATCGTTTGTTTTTTGCTAAACAAAATGAATTAGATCAACGAGCTGTTGAACTTCAACGAGGTGAAGAACAATGCCGAAGGGATATTAATAAATCTGTTCGAAATTACAATGACGCATTAGTAAGTCACATAACTATAGCATATTTTTTCCTACCTCATATTAGAAAATCTTCGAAAAATAGTAGCCTTATATTTTTCTTCTATCAAAAAATGTCGTGGTATATAATATACTATCAAAAAAAAGAAAGAAAGAACTACATATTGTTAAATTAACTGTGCTTAACACATGACTTACTCGTATTGTGTATAATTACAGAGCTTTAGCGAATGAACTTTAAAAATTTATTTAAGCACGAAATATTGAGTAACCAACAATGTAAGTTATAATTAAAAACAAAAAAATGAAGTACTTCTATGATGTCACTAGGTTAATCAAGATTAAAATTACAAATCTAACGAAAAAGAAAACGGGAAAATATTCATATATTAATAATTCATTAACATTGACATCATAATATACAAAATAACTTACGCATGAGGAACATTCTATGATGAAGCATTGACATATACAAATATTCATATTATTTATTTACTTTAAGCTAGAACGAGAATACTTCATGTAACACTTATGTTTATTTTCGAGAAAAAAAAGCGTATAGCAGAAGACACAGTACTTAATGACCGTAGTTTTCATGGCAATTATTAGGGTAGAAAAAATAGATTCTTTTTAATCATATTTACATTCAGAATAAGACTGAACTATTTTTCTTTATTAATATAAAAGAATCATTTCTTTTTTTTAAATTATGTTACAACGACATTTTGACATTAAGTGTAGAGCTATTGATTATAAAAATGCAACTAATTTTCTATAATCTTAACACATATATTATTCTTACCATCTATATGTTATTTTATGTACATACTATTGTTAAATGAATAAGCACAGTATATGTTGTAAGTATAATAAAACTATAAGAGAACTAAATATAGCTGATTACTAATAGTCATTCTTCTTGATGTTCAATTGTATTATTGAGATAGAGCGTAAACACTCAAGAGAAACAAATTGACTTCTCTGATTTCTATCAGGAGAAATCAATTTTTATTTTATTTTGATTCATTAATAATTATGAAGAATCATTAAAAACATTTAGGAATTAAAAGAATTAATTGAAAATAATGGAAATGAGAATTTTTATTCGTGATTCACAGGAAATCGTCATGAATTTTAACAATGTAATTTAGTTCATTCTGAATTGTATGCCCTTAAGGAGTACAATATTATTAATTTAATTATTGAAACTACTTACACTTGATTAGTGGCACACTGTCCTAAAAAAATAGATCATCGATAATTGTAAACAATAGGAAAATAATATATCTGATTCAAGTATTTTATAATCTATACATATCTTTTTTTTTCTCTAAAATTCACATCTGTAAACTTACTTTTAATTAATACGAATAAAAAAAACGACCTATTTATCCAATTTAAAATGTTTTCTGAATGATATATTGAAGTTCTCTATTGTCATTCATTGGTTAATATTTCTTTTTTTTTGTATCACGAAACTTCTAATATTCATAGATAATGACAAGTAGTTACTAGAAAGGAAAGACAACGTAATGATAATTTCTATTTTTCAAAAAGAATATAACGATAATTATTATTCTGAACAAAAAAGAAAAATGAAATTAACCGTGATTTGTTTACTATCATTAAACTACAAACCCTAGTAATCTCTACTATAGATTATTTGAAATATATTTAAAACTTTTTTCAACTAGTTTCAAGAAAATCAAGAACGTCGTGCGTTGAAAAAACGTCAAGACGATTATGACAATTATGCTGAAATGACAAATATGGTTACAAGTGATTTATTATCAGAAAATCCTGATCAAGCTATGAGTCAATTTGGACCACATAGAGTTGTTGTAGATCGTTGGAAAGGTATGGGTGAAGATCGCTTACAGCGCATACGTGATGAACAACAACAACAACTTGAAGAGAAAAAAGTAAATTTGTGAATATTTTGTTATTGAGAAAATTTTGATTTTTGCTTTTTCTTCTAGCGTCGTGATGAAGAAGAACGACAACGCGAACAAGAATGGGATCAACGTCGTATTGCTGAAGCTAAAGCTGGAATGATTGCAGAAAAACAACTTGAACGTGATCGACGTGCATTTGAACATGATCTTAAAAATGATAATCAACGTTTATCAAATGAACAAAGAAATCTTAAATCATATCTTGATCGAGTTGTTTATACAAATCAACCAACTGCCGCTTATTTTACACAATTTAATGGTTCATCAAGATAGATTTTTGTATTTTTTTTTCTATTCAATTTATCTTAACTAAAAAAATATCAACCAATAAATATCCCTTGATGCTTGTCTACTTCTTAAATAATAAAATAAAATTTAATTGATTGAAACAATTATCATATGAATGCTTGAATTCTAAATGATTAATTGTGAAAATCTATTTTTAGTTAATTTTTCAAACTTTATTTATTCGAATAGATTAATATACTTAGTATTCAATCTATTATGATATGGCACAATGATTAACTAGATAAATTTTTATTCAAATATAAAATTCCTTTATTTCTCTATTTCTAATCATTCGAATAGACATTATGAAATACTTTCGGGTCAAGTCTAGATTATTTATAATTCTAAAGATGAAAAAGGTCATATTAACATTTTGTTTTGTGTAGCATTGTACTCATTTTCATAATGAAATAATACAGACAAGATAAATTTTCAACTGATAAATAGACTGACATTTATTCTTTTTAATCTTTAAAAATAAAAAACAAGATGAAATATATTATGATTTACATATTGTTTATTTAAGGTTAATAAATAATACTGAAAGGAGAAATATTACGAATAAATTCTCGATTCGTACTCAATTTGAATTTAAATAATTTTTTGAAAATACAAAAATTCTTTTTTCGTCCCCAATCACTAATATTAATAATAATTATGACTGTAATATTTTTCAACTTGTCAAGCTGTACTCACCTTGACATCATATATTCGTATTCTATATTTATCTCTTACCCATATTTTCTAATTAACTCATATTTTGATTTATAAATATATCATATCATTTGGATAATATGATAGTTAAATATTCATATTGTAGTCATAGATTATTTAAAAATCGAAAACTGATATGGACCAAAAGAATATCACCATAAATAAAATATTTTTCATTTTGATATATGAGAAATTATGTCCAGGTTATTTTCTTTATGTCAATATTTTTATCATACACAATAAATGATCTTTTCCCTTGAATTCCATTATAAATTGTATCGGGTGGCGCAGATTAAATGGACCTCTCAGTATTTTGCATTTTTTTCACTTATAATTCGTCATAGACAAAAATATTTTTTGTAGAAAGATTCCTTGTGAAATTCTCTGCAAAACGTATATATTTTTATTATTTTAAATAGCCCCCATTATTTTGAGAAATGCGGTACAAACGGTTGGTCGAAGAAGCGTAACTTTCAAACAAGATGTTTCTAGTAGATAGTTCCGGGAGAAGTCACTCGAAATAACGAAAGTGTTCAGAAAAATTTTCTTTCAGACCTCATTTTTGTAGAGAATTTTTTACTGATTATTTTGGTAAAAAAACTTTAAAAACTTTATTGAAAAATGACGACGTTATGTGCGAAATACTGAACAAGTATGAAGTACAGGTTTTTAATGATGACTGTGTTTAAAAAGCGATTAATATATCTCAAAATGGTTATATTATATAGTTGTATGAAATAGTCAGTTTTGTAGAGAGAGATTTGCTCTACAAAATCCTTTAGGAGGTTCCTCACATACACTCGGATATTACGAATAAATGTTGATAGAATATTGTAAGGCATATTGATCTTAAAAAATATAAAATATTTTTTTTGTATATGAGTATGCTATACAATGTTCTATCAACATTTGTTCATAGTATCTAAATGTATTTGATAATCTGACTATACTGTGTTGTAGAACAAACTTTTCTCTACAAAACCTACCAAGTCACATTTCTCCATAGCTCTGCAATTCTGAGATATGATAACCGTACTAAAACCTTTTGTTTGAAAGTTACGCTTCTTCGACCAACCGTTTGTACCGCATTTCTCAAAATAATGGATGGTATTTAAAATAATAAAAATATATACGTTTTGTAGAGAATTTCACAAGGAATCTTTCTACAAAAAACATTTTTGTCTATGATAAATTATAAGTGAAAAAAATGCAAAATACTGAGAGGTCCATTTAATCTGCGCCACCCGATACTAGCTTTAAAAACATATTGAAATTTCCTATATGAATTCCGCCTGAATATTCTAATCGTTATTTGAAAAAATTCGTGTATTCAGTTAATACGTAACTTTTGAGTATTTAGAGATTGGAAAAACATATTAGGTTGAACTTGACATAGAGTTTAATCATTTAAAAACGATTATCATACTCAATAGGATTCTGTTTTAATGGAAGTAAGAATAAAGTATGTTGTTGTATTTATATTTTTCTTTTATAAGTTTTAAAGACTTTGAGAACAAAACTAATTGTCTGAAGTGTTAGTGACCTATGATGTTCTAGCCAGGAAAAGAAAATATGTCATGTAATTATTCATTAACAAAAGTAAGTATTTTTTTCTACAATAACCCAACATTATTTTCCATTTTTCTTTTAATTATTTATAGGAGTAAAAAAGGTTGTTTGTATCCTGTTTTTTTCATATTTGGTACAATTTGTCAAAATACTTGTAAATAATTTGATATAAATTTAGTATTAAAAAAAGATTTTTCTGTATTAAGATGTTCGTCATCCTTATACAAGAATGACAAGAAGGAAGGAAGGAACAAGGGCGTGGTGATTCTCTTACGTATCACGTTTTACTAAGATACTTGCGGGAAAAAAATTTTTAACATTGACAGATGATGCTGTAAAAGAACGCGTTGTAATGGAGATATTCCTCTACTAAGAGCATCATGTCTGATGAAGAAGACAAACAGGGTATCATGACCTGTACTTCATTGCATATAAATATCTAAAGTATATGGTGACTTAAGATATTTTTTAATTTATTAATAATTAAAAAATATTTAATTATATTATTAAAATAATTTCAAGTTCGAATTTTTTTCTTTTGTCTTTTATTTTTATGAACTAAATTTGAAATAATTATACAATCATTTTATGCAAAAAAATATTAATTCGTCAAGGTATTTAGCTAATGTCAAATAAATAACGAAGGTATCAATGTCTATGACAACTGATAAGCGTTTATAATTTTGTTGACATATATACGTTTTAGTCTGATATTAAAAAAAAATACCCTCTTTTTCTTTCTAATATTAATTCAGTTTCAGAGATAAAATACGTTACTCATTGTATCAATACATATTTGGTTAGACTTGATGCCATGTCTTATTTATATTTAATAGTATTTGTCAAATACCTATGTGTTATTTTGTATGTTCCTTTATAGGATATACTGACAAAGGTTGTTACGACCTTTTACTCTACGCTACTACCTATCTCACTAGAAAAAGAAAAAGAAAGCAATGAGCATACCATACTATATATTTATCGTTCTCTTAAGATACAGAACAGACAAACCAACGCGTGTTATATATTAATATACTGTCAGTCTCTCGTCACTAAACAAATTTTATTCATCTATCTATGACTGTACAACCTTGTTAACAAATTGGTCTAGTTTAAACAATATTTGTAGCTAATCATTCGATTGTTGTATTTAAGACAACGTTACACATCATTTCTTTAAGAAAAAAAAGAAGCATATTATTATGAAAAGTATGTCTTCATCACAATCATCATCATCACCTATATCTTCAGCAACATCACCAAATTATGAATATGATTTATATAAAAAATTTAAACTTAAACGACATCGTACGAATCGATCAGAACATGGCAATGATGATCAAATTGATTTAACGAATTCTGATGAATGGACATCATCATCTACAACACCTGAACTTGATATTGATCGAAATTTTGAAAATTATTATAATCAAGAAGCATCACGATCGATTAAAGGAGATTTTTCTCAAAATTTATTTACACCAGATATTGATGAACTTCAACGAAAAGAAAATGAGATGGTTCAATCACTTAACAAATATACGAATCAAGTAAGTCATATAAAAGATTTCATACAAAAACTAAATTCAATTGTTTTGGAATTTAGAATGAAGAAGAAAGTTCTGTATTAGCTGGAAATCATCCAAGATCTTTACGAGAGCAAGCACGAACACATATGAAATGTGGCGTTTGTCATGATCGAGCAACAGGAGTTCATTATGGTTTAGCAACATGTGAAGGTTGTAAAGGTTTGTAATTCTATTTAAAATTTATTTTCTAGAAAAATTATATTTATTGTATATATATAGGATTTTTTAAACGAACAGTACAAAATAAAAAAAAATATCGTTGTGTTGGAAATGGTTCATGTATAATTGATAAATCACAACGTAATCGTTGTCAATACTGTCGTTTTACAAAATGTCTAACAAATGGAATGGTTATTGGAGCTGTTCGTTTTGATCGAACACCTGGTGGACGAACGCCGGCTAATGTTGCTCAATTATATAGAGTAAGTATCATTTAATAGAAACTAAATAAATAAAATATTATCTAAAATTCTTCTATTATTTTTCTAGTATAATAAAGAGAAAAGTGGTAATGCAATACAAACAGAAATAAACCGTCCACCTTTACAGACGAAAAATTTTGAACAAATTGTTTTTTCTGATGCTGAACTTCGAGCAAATATACAAAATAAATTAAATCAGTCATTATGTATAAAATCAAATACAAATGTTTCACTTCATTTTGATCCATTATCAACATTGGATACATTATTTGATCATTTAAAACCATTAGTTCACAGTCGAGTACCATTAACAGATCATTCAATAAAAAATACCTCACAGTTATTAATTGATTCATTTATAACTTGGTATCGTTCATTATCATTTTATTCATCGTTAGATAAAAATTTAAATCAATATATATTAAATAATCGTTGGGCAAAATATATTCTATTAATTGTTTGTCATTTTCTAACAACTAAATACAATCATGTTAGTTTAATATCATATAATATATGTTTTCAACGTTTAATGGAATATCAACAAGCGAATTTTCTTCCATTATCACCATCGTCATCATCATCATCAGGTGGAACTATTGAATGGTTTTTAAATTTTTTAGTACAATTAATTAATTTACGTTTAACAGATATAGAATTTACGTTATTATCAATTTTAGTTGTTATTCAATATGGTAAGAGAAAAAAAAAACAAGAAAATATTGAATTTGTTTTTGTTTTAATAAATAAGTAAAAATATTTCAATTTTTATTTCAGATCAAACAAATAAAGATATTAATCAAAATGATTTAATAACACTTGAACAAGTTTATTTCAAAAGTTTACATCAATGTGAAAATGAAACATATTCATATGATCAACAACATCGTTTTAATCGAATATTAGATATTCGTGAACAGTTAAATCATCTAACACAATTACTTTTACAAACAAATCAGTTTTATTTACCATATCTACTTATTCCTAGTTAAACTCTATTTGCGTCGTTTCTTTCTTGTTTCTTTTCTATGTAGTTTGTATATGTATAAAATAAAATATAAATGAATATTTATTTTGACGCATTTTTAAAATATAATAATTGTCGGGAGCCACGAAGTAGATCGAGCAATTCATTAAGAAAATTGGTTATGGTCGTATCACGTTCTTGTCGATGTGATGCGAATACGAGAACAAGAGTAATGCGAGGATCAATATTTTGAAGAAAATATGTTTTTGATTGATTCTAAAAATAAACAGGACTAATCATTTGTTATTTACATTTAGTGATACATAAATCAATCGTTTTCATTAGTTGGGAGGTAACTTTGAAGGACGATTATCATGTTTCTCTTCTCATAGGTAGTCAAAATAATACAGGCAAGAACGAAGAGCACAAAGTGCGAAGTACGGCTGTCACGACCGTTACGGACAAATTTTTGTTAAATACGTAAAAATCGTCTATACGAGTATGAAGTTTTTCTAATTAATTAACTGAAAATATATTTTCTGACTAGAAAAAAAAGAAGGTTAGTTATTCTAGATTTTTTGAAGAATATCATGTCAGGAAAATAGCTTTTCTTTAACTAACTATTCTTATACATCCTGTTAAAAGTACTTGGCATGTCTATACAATTAAATATCAATTTTCTATTCGAAGTCATGAATCGTAAGTACATTCTCAGATAAAAAAATCCTTTTAACAAGACAAAAGAAATATACATACAGCATCTCCACTATAGAAGACTTTTTCACCACTAATAAGCATATCATGATTAATTGAAACTTTTGTTATGATTTGTTGAACGATTTCATCAGTCTATAAAATTAAAAAAAAAATTATGTTTCAGAAAATTTTTCTTAATATAACACAAACTGAATTTGGTTTATTTGGATAACTAAATATAATTTGATATGGTCTATCATCATTCATAGATGGTAATGATTGATTTGAATTACTCTCAGCTATAGAATTAAATTATACATAGAAAATTTAATAAAGAATATATTATTTTTTACTTATTGGTATCGTTTGACTAGAATTAATTTGTTGTTTTGTTGTATGTAAAATAAGTGTTATCCATTCGACATTTGAACGTCGATAGAATTGTGCTATACGTGCAGAAAATTCTGGATTCGTTTTTCCCATTGGTATTTTAGCATCTTGTCCGCCATATTCAATTAGAGTATCGGTAAAATAAAGTGTAAACTAAAATAAAAAAATGAAGACTAGTATTTATTTGAACAATTTTATATTGTTGACAGGAGAGGTGCAGCAAAAATATTTGTTTACATTCAGAACGAAAAAATGTTTTTTTCTATCTTTAAAACAGTCGGGAGCAAAAAAACAAAAAGATTCTCAAGGTTGGGGGACGTTACGCCCCGCGCGCCTCCTAATTGTTGACAATATGAGTATGACTAACAATAGCAGGTTAGTCTAAACTTATAGGCATGAGCAGATGTCTGAATTAGCCCGGATGCAAAATATTAGTCTTTTTCCAAACATGCAAATCCCCCGCCGACGGTAATCCACACTTTTAAGATTAAAATATAGATCAAATAGAAAAAATGATTTACTTTTGCAACAAGTAATTCATGAAATTTGAAATAAAATGTATATAATGCTGGTTTTGTTGGTGATTTAAAAAAATTCAATGGACTTGAATTTGATAATGTAAAACGATGATTTGTATTTTGTTGATTTTCAATATTATCATTCCATTCTTTTAATATACAATGCATATGATGTAATGTCGATATACCATTCATATATTGATAGTCACAAATATATACATAAGATTGAATCAATAATAATAAACAATCAATTTCATGTCTTAAAAATTTCAATGAAAAAGAAACAATATTTATTAAAAGATATTTTTTACTTTAATAAATAACGAATTGGATTAAGTACAGGAATGTTCAATGAAGACATATCAATTTGTGAAATAGATGTTGTTTCACTAAGATAATTTTCTAAACGAACATTATGTTCATTACGTTTTACTGCACTGGAAATTTGTTCATATCTACAGTTTAGACGAAAAATATTAGACATATTATATATATAAAACTATCATATAGTACAATTTCATTAGACTTGTTCGAATACTAAGAAATGTAATAAGACCCGCATTTAATTGTTGAAGATAATTTATCTCTTTTGTTTCATCTACAGTCGCTTGCGTCATATTACTCGGTTTATTATTTGTCTAAAATATATTATAAAAAAAACAAATTTTTTTTTTGTTTAATTTTTACCTGTCCTTCGATTAATGACATATGAAGATCAGAATAACATTGACTCAAAGATTTCTATTTAAAAAAACATTCTTGATTATGAAACAAGTAACGCTCGTCTAAGGACTCGCTTAGCTCTTTCTCGTAGAAATAGTGCTCTACAATGCTATGGAACCTTTTGCTTATATAACTTGCAAACACGAACATCAGATCCGTGCTCCCCGACCTCAAAAAATCATTTAGTCAAATTTTATATAAAAAAATGATCCTTTGTCTAAAAAATGTTTTCTCAAAGACTTTTGAAAAACTAGCATTAGATTCGAAGTTCTTGCATCGGAATACCTCTAGAAATGTCTTTTTCGAAAAATCAATTTTCGACGTTTTTTTGATCCTGCGAACAGATAAGCAAGCAAACAAACAATTTATGTTTACTGGACTCTTCCCTACGAGAAAGAGAATAGAAATAAATTCACTACTTACATCTTTTTTTATATTACTCAAATTTCCTTTTGGACCAACAACAAAACCGAAATTATGATAACTACGTTCAAATTGTACTAACATATGAAAATATTGTACAAAATCATTATTCATTTTATTTCCATCTTTTTCCTATAATAATAATAATAATAATTATAAAATAAAACTAATAAATAACATACTAAAAGTTCTTTTGCTTTATCAAATGATAACGTAGCTAAATAATTAAAATAACGTTCGTGTAAATTATCCCATCTAGTCATTATTAACTGAAACGAAGAAAAAAAAACATTTATATCTGTTTATATATTCTTATCATCCTCGATCTTTTTATTTTTATTTCAAAGACAACATATATATTTATCACAATTTTTTCGATCCAAATGAATCACGAATAGTGTCATTAGCACCTTCACGATTACGTGCAATTTCAATAGCATAAAATTGAATTCGTACAACTGTAAAAGAAATTATTTATAGAAATAAATTTTTCTAATTAATAAATATTTTACCGAGAAAGGAATTGTCGCTGCTATATTCACCTTTGGAATCAGTACGTATAAGTGTACCATAATTATAATCTTCAATTAATTCTTTAAATTCTTCACAAAATGATCGCCATAACTTTTATAAATAAAAGAATTTTTTTTTTCTTGAAAAAATTAATTCAATTTTACTTCTTTTCCTTCAACTGATTTTATTTGATTTTCATCGAGAATATCAACTTTTAAATCAGGAAATACCGCACGAAAACGAGAATAAATTTCATCATCATGACGAGTTAAACGTAATTTTTTCGATTCAATGGAACAAAGTAACTAAATAATACAAAGAAATTTTATAGAATAAAATACTTTTTTATGTTTCGTACATTGAAATAAGTTTCAGCATGTTGAAATGCTTTCATTGCCCATTGTTCTTCGAGGATAGGCTATAAAACAAATTCATTACAAAATAAACTACAGTATAGAATTTACATCATTCATATAATCTTCAGCTGATGTTGATGGAAGTGGACCTTCTGATTGTTGTGCACCGCCCAAACCCTAAATAATTCAATTATATAGATTATTTTCATTTAAAACTATGAGATTTCGGATCTTTGCCAATTAACGAAAATTCATTGGACTTCCGCCATAAATAGCGAAAACTAACTGAACTCAAATTATTTCTTGAAAAATGATGTCAAATAGAATCGAAATCGTATTAATTGATTTATTACTCATTTCGTAAAAATATGCGTTACAACCTTTGACCGATTGTTTTATGTAGTTAATCTAATCTCTATACAATGTTTCATTCTCTCTTTATAACTATTATACATAACGTGCCAGAGAGCGAAAACGAATCGACTATACTCTTGAACCGATAAACCCCGCTTTGATTCGCTCTCTGTTCTGTCAAACATCTCTCCTAGACATTCGTCAATTGAATTGTAACAGTTAATGGCAAAGTTCCGGTAACCCAAGATAATTAATTTATAAAAATCTTATATATTAACTAAATAAAAATAAATATCATACCAAATCATTTAATTTCGATGTATTATCCATTAAAGAAAATATCTACAGTAATGGAATAAAAACTTACACATCTGTTTTTTTTTCTATTGTTGAAATAAAAAATGAATAAAAAAGAAAAACATTTAGAATTAAACATAGATGTTATTTATTTTGTTCTTTAACATAAAATATAAATAAAGTTTGATTTAACAATAGAAAACAACAACAAAAATAATATAGAAAATAAACGCTACAACATAAATGAGTACATGACAAAAATTATTAAATAAATACTTATTATTTTTTAGATTAAAAATATGTAATACATTGAACAAAAAAGTTAAAAATGCAGTTTTTGTTTTCTATTATTTAATTTACCACTCTTTCTTTCGTGCATCAAGTGATACACCACCTGGACCAAGTGTAACAACATAAAGTAGACCACCAATAACCGACATTGTTTGAAAAAAATCATATTTCAAAATATCATGTAATGCACGTGAATCAGATATGGTCCAAAAACGATTTGCATAAAAATTAATAAATAATAGATAGACAACAAGAAGTAAGGCAGTTAATTTTGTTTTATAACCAACAGCAACAAATAACATACCAACGCCAGTAATTAAATTTTGTATAATTGATACGAATGATAAATCATAATGAACACTAGTTAAAAACATAATAACTAATAACATTCGTCCAGCTAATTGCATATAATTTTTCGGTGCATTATTATGCATTGTTGGAACACCAGCAAATAAGGCTCGTGAATCTTTACGATCTTCAACCATTAATAAAATTAAACCACCAATTAATGCACATGATCTAAATAGAGAAAATAAAATTTTGATTTTTTTGATACAAGTAAATTTTGTATAAAGCAGCAATTATAAATCAGATTGTAATTTTTTTTATTGTATAGAATCATGTCTTTTTTTTTCTATGTCTTGTTTTCAATTCTCACTTTAATATATAGTGATAGTTCATCAAATTATCATAACCAACGTCCTAAAATAAAATATTATTAGATATGAAATTGATTATTACCTAAGTAAGAAGTGAGGTTCCCACATGATTCGATATGAAATTGCCTATAAAAAAGAAAAAACTAATTGTCTTTAAACCATCAAATTATGACATGTTCGAATGTTTAGTCACAACGATCATTTAAGATACCAAGAAAGATAACTTTTTTAATCTGATGCATTTGTTCAACAACATTTCCTTTTATAATAGATGGGAACGACCGTTATAAACAGAAAATCTTTTAAAAGTAGTGAACTCTAACAATCAAAGAAACGATTGGTCGAAAAAATATACCTGTTAACGTAAAATAAAATTATGAGGGTCAAAGCGGATTCTCAAAAAGTTTTCTAGGGTTAATATTTTATTTTAATTCATATCATGCTTTTTTTTTTAAACGTGTATGATAGAGTTGTAAGCCGTTAGCCGGTTTTTGCTGAAGCCGATGACTTACACCTCTACGTGTATGTTACTAAGTATTTAATACGTTATTTTTTTCCTGTCGATAATGGTTACCAACCTTGACAGTGACCGTGATGGAAAGGTAATGACTCAAAATATTGGTGAATATAATGATCATAATTGAAGGCGATACAGGTTAAATCAATATTTATTATGACAAAAACTAAAAATTCGTATTTCTTTTATCAGAAAAAGATTTTAAAGTTTAATATTGAAACTGACGAAAAGAATTTTACTGTCATAGAAAATTGCATCTGATAAACATGCAAAAACATCTATCATTTTCTTATATACAGGTAAATAAAACTGCTCATTTGGAACGGTAACATAAAATCAGATTACTCGTTATGCTGTTAAATTATAAATAGTATAATACATCAAAATTTGTTATCAGACTAATTTATCTTTGTGATAAAAATCTAACTTACTTGAAATCCAACAATAAAAAATAATACTCCACAAGCAATATCAGTCTTTTTTCTTAATAAAATCATTCCACATGGTATAAGTTGACCTAATAAATTAATAATAACAAACATTGTTCCAAGAAACCATCCAACATTCCAACTCTTCATAATATATTCTCTTTGATCACCCCATTGTGTCCACATACGAATACCATCTTCAATAAATGTTAATACTAAACAAAATCTTGCAGCATGCGGTAATATATATTTAGTACGTTGAACAAACTATTTGAAAAAAAAAAAGATTTGAATAAATATTTATTTTAATTTAAAAAACTTCTAATTTACAAGATCAGCATAATCCTCTGCTTTTCCTAACCATTCTTGCCGTTGTCTTGGTGTAACCAAATTCATGATAAACAAATAAACAATACGATTGAATCGAATAGAGATTTACCTGTATTCGTAAAGAAACTAAAATTAGACTATATATGCGAACGTGGTTTTCTGCGTAGGCCTTTAATTATGATTGGCTTTTATCTGACATAAGTATGTCTTAGTTAGAAATAATTTAAAAAAGAACAAAATTTTCATTTTTATAGAACTTTTTTATATAAAAATAAAAAAATAAATAATTATAATTCATTAAAATTCTCCGTGATAGAGGGCGTTATATACTTACCAATCCATAGTTTTCAATTGAATGGTTTGGAACGGGTAAAAATTCGATTATAGGAAGAACGAAATTTTACTTGAAGCTTTTTTATACTAAATAATGTCATAAAATTTCAAGTAGATGGGTCATCGAAAATTTTTAATTGAAGAAGTAGTTTAAAGGTTTGAATAATGTTGTTTTACAATGGTATCTAATGATTATATTTGAGTGAACAAATCTCGTTTAATTTCAAGGATGACATTAGATCTAATAAACCTTTGTTAACTATTTATAGTTTATTTCAAACCAATTTCCTGTTCTTACATTTCTTATTCAATATTCAGGTTATCTAGAATTATAATGCATGTTATGACTATCACGAATGCTTATATCTCGCTTCAAGTCTATTCATATATGTTTATAGACTTTTTAACTTTGAAAAGCTCGACAATTACGTTCTCATTTCCTTAGATAACAAAATTTTGATTAGTGAAGCTACAATTAACTTTAGAATAAATGAAACTAAAGTCAATGTTCCGGTCTTTTTTATACAATATATTTTTAAATTTTATTGAATATGTATATTAATGACAACTGAGCTTTTACATGTTAATAATTACAGACTAACGAACAAGTAAAAGCTCAATTTACTTTTCTTGTAATATTATAGTGAAGCTATCACATTATGTCCTGATATGGTTTTTACTCTTTAAACTTGAGTTGTTATTTATATCTGATATATTATACACGTCGATAAAATTTCCTCTTCTTTATTACAATGGAAATAGATAAATTAAAGTAGTCAACTAAATGATATATCTACTTAAGACACATTGTATAAATGATATTGTTCGATAAAGTGAAAAAAATTGTCTTAAACTAAGCATTTGATATTGATGGAATTAAAATCAATCTATTTATTATTTCTTTTTCTACAAACTTGAATTAATTATGCTAAGAGATATATACGTATACTCAGATTGATTTTGTTACATATACAAATAATACAATTATAGTTTTTAATTGGAACAAAAGATTAATCTTGCCACTAATTCGAATGTTACTACGAGATCTTTGTTATATATATTTCTAGATATATTTTAGATTTTTCCTTATCAATGGGTGACAATCGCTTCACATTTGCAGTGCAGCGTTTGCCGGCCGGACCTTCTTATACTGAATCATTCAATGATCAAGCTTCGTATGAATATTTTCTTAATTAATAATTTCAAATAAAATTTTCTTTATTTTCTCATTAGAGTTCGTTCTAGTTCTCGTATTGGTGGTCAAATAAAACGTATTGGACCAGATATAATTGAAGATTTATTACGTGGAAAAAAAAAATCCTGTTCAATGTCTGAATGAATATTGTTCTATGACAAAAAAAAACTATTGGATATACAGAAACTGGTTCTGGATATCGATATGCAAATTATGCAACTATTGATGATGTACAATTTCCTCAAGTATAAACAACCAAATATTTATATAATATATAAAAATTTCTTTCTATGAATAGGGTACAGGTAAAAGTAAAAAAGAAGCAAAAATTGCTGGCGCACGACGTGCATTTGCTGCATTACTTGATCTTGATGAAGAAGCATTCGATACAAAATTTGCCGGTAAGATTGCATACAATGTTATTTTCTTAAAATCTTATACTTAATTATTTCTAGGAATATCTGATGTTAAAATTGATCGACATGGTCATAAAATCGTTGAAAACGGATCAAATAATCCTGAACATCTTTATACATCAGCTAATGTCGAAGAATTAACACAAAAATTAAATTTACTTGCAACGTATAGAAATAATTTTTTTAAATATTCTAAAACTTTTGTTTTCTCTCATTCAGTGATCATGAACTTTTAAAATCGAAAGGTGTTGCACATGCATTACAACGTGTTAATACTGATCGTGCATTATCACGTGCATCAACTATAAATAATCCATATCCACTTGTTAATAATAATGAAGTACCAATGACGATGTATGGTAGAGAATCAGTCTTATCTGGGCGACCACCATCATCAATGAATCAATACTCAACAAGTACACCAATAAGTAGTTTTGGTATTACAACTGGTTTGACATCACAAATTGAAAATCCTATTACAAATTTACAAGAATATTGTAAAGCAAATATGTTACCTATTGATATTAAAACAGAAACATGTGAACCTGATCCAAAAAATCCCGATCAAAGAACATTGTAAGTATTGATTTTTTCTTTTTGTCAAAGAATAATTAAATTCTTTTATATAGATATCGATCATGGGTTATTTTGGATAATGATGAAACAAAAATTTCTGATGTTTATGCATATACAGCTACAGATGCAAGACGACGTGCATCACAACGTGCTTTAGAAGCACTTATGAAAAAACAACCATCACATGTAAATAAAATTAGATGACATATTTCTTGTATGTATATATATTTTGTAGATTATTACAAGTAAACCAATGGTTGCATTAACTGAATATGAAGAAATTTCCAATACAGTAGCAGATTTTATAAAACATAATCGAGCTAATGATCATTCGGATATTTTTGATACAATTCATAATCGATTTTATGCAGCTTTTGTTGTTAAAAAAAGTTCGTTTTTTGAAATGTATTCATGATTTTATGAAAATATATTTTCTTTATATTCTATAGCTCAACGAGATGTTGGTCGTGTCGTAGCTTTTGGTATAGGTAGTCGATGTCCAGACCCTGAAAGTGTTAGTGAAATGGGTGAATCATTACTTGATTGTCATGCATTAGCTCTTGCTCGACGTTCATTTATACAGTAAGTTTAATAATAAGTAATATTTATCAAGAATTGATTCGATAAGCCCTACATTGCTGGAGAAGACCTATGACTATACTTATACAAGCTCATTAAAGGCACTAGTAACTAAAACTAAAACAAACAGAATTACTATATGATCAGTGATTACAAAAATCTCATTAATTAATTATTTAGATATCTGCAGATTATTAGTCAGTATATAATTGAAGAAATACTTTTCATTGAAATAACAGAACGATGTGGTTACTTTAAAGTACATTTGTATAGGATAAATAAACAACAAATATAGATGAATTTTTGTTTTGAAATCGAATCCTTATAGTCTAACTTTTATTTGTCTATAGATATTTATACGGTGAATTAATTAATTATGCGAATGGTAGTTCTATTCGATCAATTTTGGAAACCAGTGAAAAAGATTCAACTAAAACTCAATTAAAAAATCATGTTTCTATTCATTTACTTATATCCGGAGCACCTACTGGTGATGGACGAGAATTTCTACCAAATGATTGTGATGGTATGTGCGTATTTTCTTCTATTAACTTGTATTTAATAACTTTGTAATCAATTTAGGACCAATGGCTCCTTATGATCTTGTACAAATGAGAGCAGCTGGCCATGCACCCATTTATGAACATCCAGAACATGGTCATCTACGATATAAATTATCAATTGGCATGGAAACAATTGATGCTGATCGTAAATTTCGTAAAAATATCAAAATAAAAATCATTCTTTGTTTTTTCTTTTCAGCTCTTCAACGTTTTGCTATTATGTCATGTAGTGATAAAATTCTTAAATGGAATGTACTTGGTGTTCAGGGTGCACTTCTTTCGAATCTCATTGAACCGATTAAACTTGCTTCTATTACATTTTGTATGTATTGATTTCATTCACTTCTATTCTAATTATTTATATATTTTATTCATAGTAAGTGGTTTTAAACAATCTCATACATCACGTGCTATATGTTGTCGATTAGAAAAAGCAACAGATCCTGTACGAGTACATCATCCAATGATTGGTAAAATTAGAAAGTCTAATGCTTTCTTTTACTTGATTCATATATATATTAGGTCGTGTTAAATATCCACTTGTTCAACCACAAGACTTTGATTGTGATTATAGTTATGCATGGTCAACTTCATTTCAAGGTGAAGTAATTGATGCACGTAGTGGTCGACCTGTAACTGGGTAAGAAATAAATCTCTGTTAAATTATATAAAATTAATTTCTTTGTTGTTTTTAGTGGTACAAGTCTTGTATCAAAAGTTGTGCTTCTAAGTGAATATCGTCATGTATGTCAACGTTTAAAAATTCCATTAGTTACATCCGATTCAAGTTATTATAATCTCAAACAAACATCAAAAGAATATCATCAGAAAAAACGTGCTATGATTAGTTATCTTGAACAGAAAAAATTTGGTTATTGGTCATTTGAAAAGAAACATCTCGAACAATTTCGATGGCAATCAACTATACCACCAATCCAAAGAAATATAACTATGTGATATTTTTTTATTTTTGTTAATCTAGATTTTACAGTTTTTTCTTTTCATTTTGTTAAAGTTAGTTAATGGAAGTTAAGTTAGTGTGCCTTTTTTTTGTTATTTAACATGCATTTCATATCGAGTTAGATAAGAAAAATTAAGTAATGTACATGTATTCTTGAAGTTATTGTCTGAATTTGTGTGATTTACTGAGTTTTTTTCTTGTTAGATATGTACAAAACATCAAAGTTATTATATTTGTAAGATGAAGTTTTTTGTTACTTGAACTATTTCGTACTTTTGCAAATGGTTATGTAAAAATATGAAAACAAGCGATATAATTTATGCTTTTCAAATTTGTCAATAAGAATTAATTCAACTAATATTTCAAGTTATTATGAAATATAAAAAAAACGGTTATCATTTTAATAGAAAAACATAAAATTTATACAGAATTATAAAATGAGT